GAAAGCTAACCCAAAATCAGCTCTCGTGCCAGACAGTGTGGTGCAGACCCACAATCCCTGCCTTAAGAGCCTGAGCCAGGAGGAACTCGGTGAACGCAAGGGCGCCTGTATCACCACGTGTAACGCTGTAAAAAAAAAAACAAAAAAAAAAAAAAAAAAAAAAAAAAAAACAAGAAAAGGGAAAACCAAAACAGCTTCCAGGACTCCAGTGAGTGCTCAGAAGTGTGAGAGCAGCTCTCACAGGGCGGCACAGCCACCCTGCACCCTCCAGGGAGAGGTATCGCAACCTGGTTGTGAGCAGCAAGCCCAGCCAGCAGCACCAGGTCAGAACCCTGGGCAGGAGACACCAGGGTCAGAGCGGCCATCCACCCCCATGGTCATTACCCTCCAGTCACCCTGTCGTCACCCCGTGGCGTCTCCCCTCATGGATCACCCTGCAGTCAGCACCTCTGCAGCCACCGGCAGCAGCTCACTGCTTGGGAACACGTGGGGACATGCTCGGCGAGGCGGGGCCAGGCCCTCGAGTTCCCTGTTTGGGGATGCTGCTGCCTCACAACCCCAGCCCCACTGCACACCTAGGAGCCGTGGCCCTTGCCTTGGAAGGCCAGAGCACATGCCCTGGGCACATAACACAGCAGCCCCAGTGGAGAGGTCAATCTACAAGAAAGAAGTCGATTCTAGACTGTCCAGGGTCTGAATCTCCAAACAGCCCCTCAGCCATGCAGTCTTCCATGGCATGGGGAGAAATCTGTGGCCCTGTTAACCTCCATCCAACCTGGGGCTTTGGGGAGAGACACAGAGTGGGCAAAAACACAGTACTGCAAAGGCAGGTATTTTATCAGGAACTAGTCTCCATAATATATAAAGAATGTTTGCAACTCAAGAACAAAAAAACAAATAATACAATGATATAATTCCTTTTTTTTGGGGGGGGGTCTTTTTGAGACAGTCTCGATATGCAGCTCAGGCTGGCCTTGAGTTCACTTTGTAGCCCAGGCTGGCTTTAAACTCATGGCAATCCTCCTGCCTCAGCATCCTGAGTGCTGGGATTACAGGTATGTGCCACCATTCCCCGCAAATAATACAACTCAAAAAAGGAAAAGAAAAAAAATAAAAGAAAAGAAGGAAAAAATAGATGAGCAAAGCCACATGCCCAAATGGCCAACAAGCACAATCCATCATCAGAAAAACCCAGGAGAGAGGCCCACTTCACACCTTCCAGGTGGCTAGGAGTTGAGGAAAAGCGGGTGCTGGAGATGGTGGGGAGCAACAGGAAAGGTTTCCTGTCCTGACGCCCCTAATTATAAAATTGGCACATCAGGTTTCTGTCCCCCAAGAAGGGGGTGGGGTGACAGTCGAGAGACATAGCCCAAGAGGTGCTGAAGAAACTGCCTCCCCCACTTCAAGGAGGAGGACGTGGACTCCTCGGTGACTCTCAGGCCTGGCCCCTCCCTAGCCCCAGGCGGCGCCAGCGTTCAACTCTATCTGTGCCCTGAGGCCAGCACAGAGGCCGAGGCAAGAAAGGGGCTCTACAGCAGGGGCTCTGACCAGGATGCACTGCCTGCAGCTCTGCTCTTCTCTTTCTTTTCAGCTCTAGAGATGGGATTCAGGCACTCTGAACTACATCTCTAGCTCTTAATTTTTTTTTTTTAAATTTTGAGACAAGTTCTCACAAGGTTGCCCCTCCCCGGGGGGCTCAAATTTGCAATACTACCTGCTTCAGCCTCCTGAGTAACTGGGTTTAGAGTGCATGTCCCTGTGCCTTCCCACTTTCTCCTGTTTTTTTGCTCATACTGCAGCCCCATTGGGGAAGAAGGCTCCGAGCTCCCTTCTGATTCAGGGTTCCTGGAGCCCTAAACAAAGATGGGTGGGCCCAAACCTCAGGACCTCAGGTCCGTCCTGGGGTGACATCCTAACTCTAAGCAGGGCACACTCTGGGCACTGCCACCTGGGCTGGGGTTGATGGTGTGGCTCAGCCCACTGGTGAGTGCTTCGCTAGCAGCACAAGGCCTTGGGTTCTATTCCCAGCACCTCAAAAAAGAAGACAGAACAATAAAAAATCCTCTAAACTATGATCCATATAAACGTGATTTTACCTCAGATCTAAATGTGTCCACATATGTCATTGAAATAAAAGTTGCTGTTACTGTGAACACTCACCCCAATAGCTTCTGCTCTATTTTATTTTACATAAATGGGGCTAGTAATTCCTTAAACTGATTTCAGAACCTTTTGAGAAGCAGGGCCAGACAGCACCCCCCGTGGCAGCGGGGCTGAGAGCCATGAGGTCCCCCCTTGCCCTGAGAACGGGGCAGGACTCTCTGGTAGGGCGCTGCCTCCCAGGGGCCCCAGGCACTGAACAATGGGGGCTGGGTCTTCCTCTTGAGGAACTGCCCCACTGTGGAGACTGAGCTCGTGGGGGCCACTCTGCCAGCTAAGGGGCAGACTCCCCTGGGGCAGAGTCCTCCCCCCCCCCCCCCCCCCGTCCCGGTGTCACAGACCTCGCGCGGTCAGAGAGTGGAGGCCAGGCACTGTCCGGGGCGGACTGTGAGCCTAGCCGGCAGTCACCAGGATGGCCATGCGAGAGGCTCAGCCCCACAGGTACCTGGGCGTTCAGGGTCCCTCACCTCCTCGGGTCCCTCCCCAGTGCTCGCGGAGCCCACCCGGCTCCAGCCACAGCCTCTCACCAGCTCCGGGCAGGTTTCTGTCTTTGGGAGTCCCGTGGGGCTTTCCCTGAGTGGGTGACAAGCCAATGCCTGGCCGGCCATCTGCACCCTCGCAACTTCCTGCTCAGAGATACATAGGGTCGGAGCTGCGGCTGCAGGGATGGGCGGGGGGCCCACGAGGTGGCTCCCATCACTAGCACAGGTGCGCTTTCCCCCAGACCCCCGCGGTCCCCAGCCCTTACCTCTGCTCGTCTCCAGCCGCCTGTAGTCGGGGGCCCGGTGTCCGGGCTGCGTCTTCACCAGAAAGGAGCGCGGCATGGTGCGGGCGGCCGGCGGGTGCTGCAGACTGGGCGCCAGCGCCTGCCGGCAGGTGCGGAAAGGTCGGCTTATTAGCATAGCGCGCCGCCTCGCCCAACCAGCGGCTGGGGAGGTGGGGCGGGGCCACGGGGCCACGCCCAGGACAGGTGCGCGGGCGGGGCCGGGCTTCGGGGACTCGCGGTTAGAGTGGGTCTCAAGCCCGCCGAACGCGTCCGCTCTGGACGAAGAGCAGAGCCCGGGACTCCTGATCCCCTGTGGTTAGGAAGTGTCGCGGAGGGTGAAGTAGTGCTCGGCCCCAGGGACACTCTGGATGGGACAAGCTTCTCCCTTCATCGTCCCTGGTAATCCGCAGTCCCTTCTCGCTGCGGGGATCCCTGTCCACGTGGGCGTGTCACGACTTGGGGGGCCTGCGGGGCAGGCTTGGGATGGGTGGACTCTGCACCCCCGGCCCCCAGGAGCTGCAAGTAGGCCCACGTCTTGGGCGACGCTCTGTCCCAGTAGCCTGGTGCTAGCTGGCCTCCTGGGCAGGGAGCGGAGACGGACGTGAGCTGCAGGTGCTCAGACAGAGCGAGGAGGTGTGGCACACAGGTGCCCGGGTCCTGTAGTGGCAGGAAGCCAGTGGCTGGGAGGATTTGTTCCTACTCTGCAGATGCTCACGGAGCAGTGGAAATGGGGTCCAACACCCCTTCCTGTGGCCGGTACAGCCCCCATGCTGCTGTGGTAGGACACACACAGATGGCTTTCTACCAGCGAGAAGGTGCGGTTGCCCGCGTGGTTCTCGGGATGGCCTAGTGCTGCCCGTTCACCTGTTCCTTGGCATTGCCAGACTTCTCTTTGTGGTTTTCGGCACACTGAACACCAAAGACGCCTGAGCCAGCCTTCCTCTATGCGTCCTGCACCCACCGGGTAGCCCTAGAAGCGAATGTCCCACTCAACCAGCTGCTCTGTTAGGGGGTGCAGAGCATGCTGGTGGCACCTGCCAACCCCTGGGAGTGCCCTGAGGTTGTCAGTCCACAACATGTGCCCAGGAGGGAGTCTGAGTTCCCTGAGACTTCCAAGTGGCCCTCCTGGTAGCCATAAAGCCTCATTCTTCAGCTGTGACGTGCACTGTGTCCAGCTGGACCCTGTAGGGCATCTGCCCTGTCCCCACGTGTGGCCCCAGGCAGGGACAGCACATGTCTCCATCGCTGGGACTTCTTTTGTCCAATACCATCTCCTTTACCCCAGAGGCTAATCCTGCATGTCTCGCCACAGAACCCTTCCTACCAGCCTCAACCTGTGTGACCTTGCTGGGACTGTGGGTTTGGCCTTCTTCCCTTAACACCTGAGACCTTGGGATAGGGGCCCCCTGTGGCCAGGCAGCCCACCCTTCCACAGCCTTTCGGGCTCCTCCATCAGACACCCAAAGAAGACTTTTCAAGCTGGGTCCTCAACCCTGGGATTGCAGGTCAGATTAGGGGACAGATTATTAATGTCATTCATTTGATATTTTTTCTTCTGTTTTTGTCTTGGAAATTGAACCTACAGGGGCTGGGAGGTGGCTCAGTGGAATAAGCGCTTCCCTGGCAAGCGCAAGGGACTGAGTTCAATCCCTGGTTCCACCAAAAAAAAAAAAGAAAAAAGAAATTGAACCTACAGCCACTGTAGGCAAAGCTGTTATTGAACCACATCCCAGGTCTTTTTATTTTTATTTTGAGACAGGGTCTTGTTAAAATGTCTGAGCTGGGTGTGGTGGCACATGCCTGTAATCCCAGCACTTGGGAAGCTAAGGCAGGAGGATCACTGGGAGTTCAGGGCTAGACTGGATTACAAAGTGAGTTCAAGGCCAGCCTGAACTGCACAGTGAGACCCTGTCTCAAATGGACAAAAAATAAAATAAAATAAAAATATCCAGGTTGGGCTTGAATTTGCAATTCTTCTGTCTCACACTTCCAAGTATCTGGGGTTACAGGTGTATACCACCATAACTGGTATTTCATCCTTTCACTAGGCTCAGACTTGTGATCCTCCTGTCTCCACCTCCCAGATTGCTGGGATTGAGTGTGCCCCACCACACCAGGCTCTTTGAACTTTTTTTGGTATGTTTTGCAGCAGATACAACAGTGTGTGGGAAAAAAAAAGTGTGTGCATGTGTGTGTGTGTGTGAACATATACATCTCCATCCCTGTTGAATGCCTGACTCTTACCAGTAGGGTTTCACAACTCAGACCCTGCAAGGCCCCATATCTGTAAATGCAGCCCCTGAGCAATGGCCCAGGCAAGATCACCTGGTTATGTGCAGGATACCTGCGGTGGCCATGGCTGTGGCAGCGTTTACAAAGTCTGCTGAACTGCACTGAGAAGAATCAGTGCCCCAGACAGCCTGGCCTTTTTGGAGTACCTGCCCTGCGCCCAGTAACAGTGGAGCAAGACTGTGCTCCCACAGAAGCGTGGGTGAAAGCTTGAGGGGCAACGTGGAGGACAGCATCCCTTCCATGTGGAGTGTGGAGCAGTCTTGGAAGGAAGGCAGAACGGATGGACATCCCTAGACCCGGGCGGCCCATTGCCCAGGCCCCTGACACCCAGCAATTCTGGTGGTCAGCATGTGCGTGGTCACACCCACATGGTGGTGGCACACACCATCTGGCATCTCTTGGAGGTGAGCATGGGTCCTTCCATGTAGGTTGTGGGGGTGTCTGTGGCCCCTTCACTCAGGAACTGAGGCACAAGAAATAGTTGGAATGGACCCTTCAGCTGTACCTAGGAAGTGACAGCAGGAGCGGGAGGGAGGCAGCACGTGTGTGTTTGCACATGCGTCAGCGTGCCAGCTGGTGTAACATTGCCAGAGCTGGCCTCTGTGATGCAGAGGGAGCTGGAGGTGTGCAGGGACAGCTGGGGGCCCACTGACCTCAGCAGCCCCCGCTAGCAGCACTGGGGGCCCTTCTCCCTCTCTAACAGGAACAGGGGCCCCAGGGTCTGCCCAGGGCCTTGGCTTAGCTGGACTCCAGGAAGCAGGTGGAACAGTTTCTGTGGGGCGGAGGGGGTGGTCTCCCTCTCAGACCCTCAGGCTCAGGAAGTAGGGAGTATCCTGTCCCATCTGGTCCCGCCTCCTGAGTTTTCCTCGGAGAGCAGAGCTGGATGAAGACACTGCCCATCTTCCAGAGTGCACAGTATTGAATCCAGAAACCAGGAGAGGGAGGGGTGTGCCGGACCCCTGATGGGTGTCAGTTCCCACAGCTGTCACCCTGGAGAGCTGGGACCCTCCCCGACCAGGACACCGGCCAGGTGTCCTGCTGGGCCTGGTAGTGACAGGGTGCAGGGCTCCCCTGATCAGAAACTGCCAGGCAGTCTTTCCCACCCCTCAGAAGGACTGAGCCTCACTGGCCTTTGCCCCCCTTATGGCTGGGCGAGAGAAGCACCGCTGCCTGGTGAGTGAAGGAAAACCTTCCAGGAAGTGGGGTGCAAGTACCCACGCCTGCCTCACCTGAAATGAAGGGTGCAGTGTGCCAGCTGGGGCCTCTGCTGCCCAGGGCCCCGCAGTTCCTGGCCCCAGCGAGTGATGCCAGACAGGCTTCCTACAGTGCAGAGCCTTCCCCCAGCTCAGGGTGGGGGCCTAGCCTGTGGGGCTTCCAGCTGGAGAGGGGGACAGAGTCTGGGCAGCTCCACAGCCTTGGACACCCCCCCACTGGAGACGGGGGCACAGGCTGTGCCCTCCTGTGACCTGCTGGCCAGCTGAGGGCGTGGGCATGCCGTCCCTGCAACGCCCCATGGTAGCACAGGCCCTGTCCTGTGGCGCTTCGCTACTGTACCACGGGGACCGAGGCAGCACCTTCCGGCAGATGTTGCTCATGACCTTGTTGAGGGGCCTGGGGTGACTGGCCCAACTGCTCTAGGAACAAGTTTGGGGCATGTGTGATCAGCTTCCTGTGGATGAGACAATTAGGTTTTGGGAACCAAGAACTGTGAGGCAACACTGCCGTGCTGTGGCTTGGTTGGCCCACTGGTACTGGGTTTTGCTCCTCCTGCCTTTCCTCTTCTCCTGAACTGGGGACTGAACCCAGGGCACTGAGCCATAGCCCCTGCTTTTTTCTTTCCTTTTTTTTTTTTTATTTTTTTATACAGGGTTTTACTGAGTCACCAAGTTGCTCAGGCTGGGCTCAAACTTGTGCTTCTCTCCCCTTTACCTCAGAGCCCCGAGGACAATCCAAAGGAGCATAGGTTGCAAAGGACGGGAGCCCCACCGTAGGAATGCTCACCCAGTCATTCCTGTCAGCAAGCAGCATGGTATGGGTGGCCCCACCTGGGGGGGTTTCCCTTCCCTGCTTCTCCTGGCCCACCATACCCCTCTGGCTGTCCCCACGGCAGCCAGGACAGGAGAGGGGTGCTGGCCCTAGCTTCCTGACCTGCTGGCCCACTGCCCTGGGCTCCCAAGCCTGAGGCAGCAATGCTGACGTGGCAGGTGCTGTGACCTTTGCAGGTGAGACAGAGAAACCCAGTAGTGTTTCCCAGAGGGCAGATAGGTAGGAGGCCAGTGGACAGTGCTGTGGGGTCAGGACCTGCTAGAGCAGGCCCCAGCCTGCCCCCAGGTCTTCCTGTACTCTGCGGGTCAGGACCTGTGAGAGTGGCCTGTGTCACTAGTGCCCAGTTGTGGGGCAGGCCGGGGCCTGCAGAGCAGTCCCTTGGTTCCCATCAAGTGGCGGGAAGCTGTCCAAGGGTGACAGGCTAGCCAGTGGCCAGCCCTGGTAACGCACCTGACACCTGGCGGCTGTGCCTCCTCTGGAACCAGCAGGAAGGCAGCTGGCCACAGCTCTGCGTGTCTCTAGAACCAGTGGGGCCTCCCAGATACAGAAACAATGCAGATGGGGTACAGGAGCAGCTGGAGGGGACCCCAGTGGTCCCCACGAAGGTACCCTGAAGTGGCTTTGCTTAAGGGTGCACGGGAACCCAGCCACAGCTGCTACTCTCTGTGGGACCTGGCGTGTGGCTCTCACCACTTTCAAATTCCTGGACCACTTTCCTCTCAGAACTGTCCAGGACAGAGGTGGCTAAGAGGCAGGGCCACACTGGATGGCCACCACAGCTGGTGGCAGGTGATTCTTGTGGGCTCTGAGTCTGAGCAGCAAGCCACGTGCAACTGAAGCCTGGTCTGGCAGACCAAATAAGCAAGCAGCAGACTTTACGCTTGCCCCTGGGGCTCTCCATGACCTGCATCGAGGCCCAGGGAACGGAGAGCAGCTGCAGACCCCAACGGGGCGGAGGCAAGGACGCCCTCCTGGAGACACTGAGGACGGAGCCACGGGCACTTGGATCGTTTTATTGAAAATTCTTTGAAAAGACAGCAATAATTATGCCATGAACAAAACAGGAGCACTGTCGAGTGTTTTCTGGTCTGACCACCACCAAACAGGCCCTTGCCTGAACCCCGGGAGCTCTGCTCCAGCTGGGATGGCAGACACCAAGGTGAGGACCAGGTAGGAGGCCACTGTCATGGCCAGATGCTGTAACCTCTTCCTGGTTGTCACCAGAGAAACCACAAGCAAGACCCCCTTCAGAGTGCTGACAGTGATGACTGGGGTGCCATCTCTGGGGTGCCAGGCCCAGGTTAGACCCCAGCTTGTCTGGCTTCAGCTGTGTCCAGCCACTTTTGCCCTCTGGTCCCACACAAGGTTTATTTTTTGTTTTTTTTTTCTAAAAAATATAATTTTGTAAATGTTCCATAAAAATACTATTCTGCCTAGTCAAACACAGATATTGCAATATGAAGTGTAACTGCTTTGTCTTTGCTCTATAAAACGTGAAAAGGTTATCACATGGGATAAGATAGAAAAATGCCAGGGTTTCTAAGTATCACAAAAGCCAGTACCAAATATGCACGGTGGAAGCATAGCCAGGTGCCGGGTCAGGCTGGCAGGGGCGCTGGGCTGCTTCTCTGCTCTCCTGCTGGCTTCAGCTGGGTACCCCAACCCTCACGCAAGGACAACGTCATGGCTTGGAAGAGGCAGCCGAATGCTCCGAGTCCCACTGGCTGGCACCTGCCCCACAAAGCACCGATGTGGGCCCGGACCGCTGATGGACAGCCAGGTGGCATCTCGGCCCCCAGGCTCTTAGTACTTGGCCCAAGAGCAGCTCCGCTGGCCCGGGCTTGGGCACGGCCGCTGCGCCTTCAGTTCTCAGAGAGGGACAGGGCGAGGGCAGCCTGGAAGGCAGCTTCTTCATCGATGTTGTAGTCCTGGAACAGAACGGAGAGGCACCGTGCAGCAGCAGCCTGTCCTTTATTGGGGTCTGCCCAGATACACCTTCTCTTTTGCCACCACTGGGCCCCTCTAGGGTGTCCATTGCCCTGGCATCAGGCAACCCTCAGCCTCCCCCATAATGGCCAGGTCTAACAGTTGCTGCGGGGTCTAGCTCTCAGGGAGATGTGGGGACAGGGCTGTCTTCCTGCCACAGAACATAAAAAATGGGTTCCTGAGATCTCTAACAGCTGGGAGAGGGGAGAAAGGCAGTCCTGAGCCACACCAGAAAGGAGGACCAAGGAGAGGGGTCAGGGCCTGGGATCCTGACCACAGTGGTGGGGGGCGGGGAGTCCCTTTGGCTTCCAGAAATGCCAGAAGGAAGCGGATTCACGGTGGGATCCCCAAGAGTGTGTCAGGGAGGCAGGGCCTTCTCAGGGGCTATCCTATGAGGGCAGACCTCATCCCTGGCAGCTTTGGTGGGGATAAGGGAACTTCTGTTTCCAGCCTTCTCTGGGTCATCTGAGTGGCACCCAGCAGGCAGGAGGGAAGGGCACCCACCACGAAGGTGTCATAGGAGAACTTGTGCCTGTGCAGCAGGTGCTGCAAGAAGTTGGCGCTCTTGTAGCTTGGGTCGCCCCAGGGCATTGCCGAGCAGATGGGGCACACCTGGAAAAGAGGATCACACTGTGCACTGGGCATGGCCTGGGGTGCAGGCCTCCCCACCCAGACACAGCCATGGGACTGCAGGTCCCTATTGTGCTCATGCATTCAGCACCCCCAGACCAAACAGGTGCTCCTGCAACACTGCGCCACTGCTGGGATCAGGGTAGGCCCAAGGCAGTTAGTTCTCCCCACACAGCTGGGGTGCCATGGGGACTCACCACGCGGTTTGGGTCACTGCGGTGGCTCTCCACGCAGTGCTTCACCAGCTCCTGCTGGTCGAGGTTTCGGGCACCACAGTAGGGGCAGGCAAATGTGGACCTGTTGGGGATGTTGCTGGGGGGGAGGGGGAGTAAGGTGAGGATGAAGGCAAAGAGCAGCACGGCCCCAGAACTGCCCAGCATTCCCTCTGTGGGCTCAGGACGGGACGAGCTGCTGGGTGGCTGTCAGGGCATCTTGGGTGGCAGGTGGGAAGGGTGGGGCTCACCCTGGAGACAGCCTGGCACTCAACTGTGGTGTCTGCTGCCATGTGAGGGCCAAGAGCAGCACCGCACCAGAGCCCTTTTCTTTACTGGCACCACAGTCTGGCTGAGGGAGGGACAGGGCTGCTCCTACCTCGAGGTGCCATCTTGGCTGCCCACCCACTGGCCTTGGGCCGTCTTCTTAGCTCCCATGCTGCAGGTATCCCACTGCCACACGGCCTGGCTTCCCCAGCACACCTTGATGCCTGGTACCCCCCTCACCTGCTTAGCAATCCACAGGAAGCTGCCTACCTTGGGATGGGCTGGGATGTGGGCACCACAGGGACAAACTTGGGGCAGTTGGCCATCTGCTCCTGGACCTTCAGGCAGGAGGTCACATGCACTCTCATCTTTGCCAGGGTCACCTAAGTGAGAGGGCAGGAGGGAGGGAGTCCAGAACAGAGACCATCTACAGTGGTCACCCACGAAAGGGCCACCTGTACAGCCCAAGAAATCCACAGGCAGCTTCTGTGCCTGGCAGCCCTGGAAGGGGCGCTGAGGGTGAGCAGGACAAGCCCCTGAGCTGCTGCATAGAGCAACACTCTGGATAGGAGCTGGCACCCCTTCTGGAGGGCCCACCCCTCAGAGAAAGGCAAACTGGAAACTGTACTCGTTGAGGGAAATAAACCGCACTCAGTAGGAGGGAAACCCATCTACTGGCAACTCATGGAAAAGCTCCTGATGAAACCCCTCCCCTGGCATAAACCGCCTAAGCTGGCTATCCAGAGAAACAGGCCCCAGAACCAGCAGGGCCCAAGGTCACTGTCAGGGTCCTGTGGCCACAGGGCTGGAAACCAGGGCTCTGTCCCAGCTGGCACTGGGCAGGGAGGACCTGGGGCAAGGGGCCGGGCCACACCACCTGAGGAACCCAGAAGGTCCCACCTTCGTCTCCCCTGGAGGCTGTGACTATTGGAGCCTGGGGTGCCTACCACCCTGGATGGACTCAGTAGTTCCCAGACATCTGCACCTTGACCTCGGTATCGAGCATATAAAACATATCCTCCACAGTGTCGGTGAGATAGCTCAGCAGACTAAGGGCCTGCTTAGGCAAGTGCAGGGACGGGGTAACACATGCTGTGCCAGCCCTCCCCCCACCCCGGTGTGCTGAGCCAGCGACCAAGTCCAGTGCTAGTAATGCTGAAAACACGAGGGTCACTACCAGACCAAGCTGCATAGTGAGACCCTATACCAAATACATTAAACACACACACACACACACATGCCCTATCCTCTGTAGCCACAAATAGCAGGGAACAACTGCAGTCACAAGTCACCCACCTCCCACTGTGCTCGGCGGCAGGGCTTAGGACCCAAAGGATCACCACACTGAAAACACAAAGTCAAAGTGTGTGCCTCGCAGCTTGACCAGGCCCCACATCAGGGCACTGTGGTGCGTGGCACGGCACCAGGGAGGGTGCAAGGGCAGGCGGTGGGACCTCATGGGCTCTGAGCAAGACACTGCCCTGCTTGCTTTGGCTGGCAGGGTGATGGGCTGGCCTGAGGTGCTCAGCACTTGCAGGGCCCTCCACTGAGAGCCCCACAGCTGTGGCAGCCTGAGCACCCAGCCCACATCTGTGGAGCAGAGGTTGGGAGGGCAGGCACAAGGCTGCTCACACCAGAGCAGCTTAACGGCAAGGGGCACAGTCCATGCAGCAGCCTTCTGGGGATGGGGTCTCTGCTTACCCAGACCGACAAGTGGCCCATACCTTCTTGTTGCAGCCCCGGCATGGCGCCTTGTAAGATGACAGCTGCTTCTCCACGTGGGTGGCCTTGTCCACTTTCTTAGGGTCAAAGGGCAGGCGGCAGAGTGGGCACAGGGGGGATGGCACCTGCAGACATGGCTGGAGGCACTCCCCACAGAACCTGCAGGAGACATGGGCCTGAGGGCTGGCACTGGCAGGGCCATTCCTCCAACACCTCTGTACCCTAGCCCACCACCTGGGGCCCTGCCCCTTAGCTCAGTTCTTTAAGTGGCTGCTTCATCAAAGCCGTCAGGCGCAGGTTGCTGTGGTTCGATCCCCACAACTGAAGCTAGCCAAACCTGCCCTGAAGGCATTCGGAGCAAAAAAAAACAACCTTCTGCCTGGGGCCAGGGAGATGGCTCAGTAGAATAAGTGCTTCCCTGCCTGGCAAGTGCAAGGGCCTGAGTTCAAACCTCCGTTCTGCCAAAAAAAAAAAAAAAGACAGAAATTCTAAGAATATAAATTACCTTTGGGGGGCCTGCCCCTTAGCTCAGTTCTTTAAGTGGCTGCTTCAACAAAGCAGTCAGGCTCAGGTTGCTGTGGTTCGATCCCCACAACTCAAGCCAGCCAAACCTGCTCTGAAGGCATTTGGGGGGGGGGGATCCTAGCCCAAAACCGGGTAAAGCTGAAGGGAGTCCCTGCTGGCAGAGGGCCCACTATGTCCTGGATGCCAGCCACAGATGCAACTTGGGTATTCCCAAACTGGCTGGCCCCATGTGGCTGCTCCTCACTAGTGCAGCAGCACTTTTGGGGCGTGATGGCCTGGCACAGACAGGAAGATCACCAGTAGGTATAGGCAAGAAATGCTGGGCCTAGATCATGTAGCATGGGGCCATGGTTGCCTGGTCAGCCAGCTGGGGGAAGCTCCCTGGGTTGGAGGTGCTCCTATATCTCTGAGCCAAGGCTCAGTGATGAAGGGCTGTGCTCAAGCCTCCTCAGGTGCTGGTACAACTGAGGCAGAGGCTCCAGCAAGCCTTGTGCTTCTGGCGCCTTCTTCTGAGGCTGTGAGTTTGGCTTATGCCACACAGCCCTCCAAGATTGGGGCTGGCAGCAGAAGCTAGGCCTGCTCTGCCCACACCTCCCAATTCTGCAGACCCAGGGCAGCAGTGGAAGAGGGGAAAGAAGAGGAGCTGGTCACAGGGCAAGCTCGGCGTAGCTGCACAGGAAGTGCTGTGGGGACAGCAATGGCACAGAAGGTGCCTGGACACATGGACACAGGGCCAGCATAGCAGCCCAAGGACAGCATCTGCCGGAGCACGGAGCAGCCTTGCCCAGTAGAAAGATGGCAACCTTATCACTGGTGGCACAGTTGGAAAAGTCTGTGGGGTGGCAACAGGAACCTCGCTAGATGGAGGGGACGAGACAAGACCTGAATTCACAGAAGACACAGCTATGGTCTGGGGTCAGAGTTCTCTGCATCAAGAGACCTCACTGCTCTGACAAAAAGCCCTTTCTGTGTTGAGGAAGGCCCAAGGCTTCAGAAAAGCTAAGGCCATCTTAGTCCCCTCCTCTTCCCATGTGCTGGCCTCTAGTGAGGCCACTTGGCTTGCCACCTGATAGTCACCTGGCCAGTTATACAACACTGACAGCCCCTGAGAAGAACTAGGTCTTCTGTGAGACACAAAAGGTTCCAGAAGCTGTTCCTGCATAACAGTGTGAGCCAGGGGGTCTCCTCAGGCATCTACATCACTCCCTCAGTGCCCCACGAATATTCGAGAATGTCCCTGTCTCTAGCTTAGGGTCTGGTTAGCCTAGGAACCAGAAGAAGGCACACACACATATCTGCAGCACCAAGACATAACAACAACCTAGGGATCCATTTTGGCCCCACACGGACGAAGTGCTGGTGCACACAGTACGTGGGCAGGCCCTGCAACATGCTGTGAGCACTGGAGGTCACAGACTATAGAATCCCATGCACACAGTGCCCCAAGGACACAGCCACAGAGGCAGAGGCAGAACAGGGCTTCCACGGCCGGGGGAGGGGAAGGCACAGGTGGTGAATGTCCTAAATCAATATCCCAGGAACCACTGGATTCTACTCTGTAAATGAGCAGAGAGTGAGGCACTGAATTCTACCTCAGGGAAGCCGTTAAAAGCCAGACAGACGGAGCTGGTGAGATGGCTCAGTGGTCTAAAGCACCTACTTAGAACAAGCTAAGCAAAGCACAGGGACCGTGGTTCAATCCCCAGCACCACATGCCAGCCAGCCCCGCCCCCTGGTGGGCTGAGCTGGCCACACACACACACACACACACACACACATAAATAAAATTAAAAAAAAAGACTTTATAAAAAAAAAAAAAAAGCCAGACAGAAGGTATGACGTGTAAGCAAGCATGCTCAGGTCACGGCGTGGCCGTTTCACTCAGCAGACGATCCTTCGCAGAGCAGGGAGGGACATGTCTCTGAAGAGGAATGGATGAGGTGCCTGGCACTACCCTCAAGGTGCAGGGGTGGCTCAAGAACCCGTTCACCTGCAAGGTGAGCATACCAAGCTGCAGCCCTTAAGGAGCAACCCAGAAGGAAGCATCCATGTAGTCAGGCACAGCTTTCGGCCTACTTTCATCTCCACTGCCCTGTGAGCTGCTGGCAGCAGTGGCTACAGTAGGGCCAGCCTCTCTCACAGGGAGTTCCTGCCTGTGTCTTCCCAGCACCTGGTACCAAGCAGCTTCTCTGAAAAATGAAGTAGTTGAGGATAGTGGGTGTGGGGCTGGCCCTTCTCCCAAAAATTTGGGACATCAAAGATGGCCATGGGCCTGAGAACACCATCGATGTGTCTCTCCTGCTTGGGACCCTCACACACACCAGAAAGCTAGGAGACACCAGCATTTCAGAGACTGCCAAGGCCACGCGAGCCATGCAGCTGTCCTTGTGCAGAGAGTCCTTGGGAAGGCTTTTGGGGCAGCCTCACTGATGGATCCAGATGTGGCTTTTAGCCTGGGCTGCCCCTCACTGAGGCAGCTCCTGCAATGTCCTCCGTATTGCTTGATCAGTAGCCACCCACCCACAGCTCGTGCTTGAATGCTCTCCCTCCATCCTTTGTTCTGCCTGTGCCAGGGTAGCAACTCCTGCCCCACACTGGGCTGCCTTCCTAAGAAAACCACCTCAGGAAGGAAACTGCTCTGCTCAGGTACCTCGTGGAGGAAAGGAATTGGACTGCGCATGAACTTCTCAGAGGTGATGTGGAAGGCATCAGGCTTCCTGTGATCATTTGCTCATATGCCTCAGCTCCGCAAACTGCAGGAAGTCAGAGGTGGCAGAGAACAGCCAAGAAAACAAAGCCAGCAAAAGAAGCCAAGAGAAGATCTTTTCAAGGCAGAGGCTATGAGAAGAGCTTAAGAGAAGATGCTTTTCAATCCCACAGAGTCTTGTAAGGCAGACCGCATTTGAAGCAAAGACATTTAGAGGAAATAAGAAAGAGCAAATACTGGCTTGTACAGACTAAGATATCAAAAATGCTGTGGCCAGGTGTGGTAAACGAATAGTTGCCAGGCCAACAGAGACTTTCTAAAACAAGGCCCTGACAAACCTCACAGCAACTGAAGATGCAGAACACACCTTAAGACACCCACATATGTGCGCACACAGGAGTAAGTCCCGATCAAAGGCTGTCCTGCCAAAACGTGACAGCAGAGTGAGACCGAGTAGGAGCACTGCCCTGACGAGATCAGCAGAGCTCTTGGGGTGTGCAAGCACCCGCGCTGCCTGACACGGGGGGCAGAGAAACAGCTCTGGATCCTGCCACCCTCCCCGCCAGCCCTGGAAGGAGGCATGACTGGCAGGCGCACGCCCACTGGCAGTGCGGGTTCCCTTCACATGAGGAGCCTCCAAAGTCTTTTGCTTTTGTTTGCACAATGTTCTAAAGCCTCCTACCAGCCTGGGTGCACCTTGCCCAACCTCCATGCCCAGCAACAGCCCACCTCCTCGGCAGCAGGGCCATCTGCTGGGAAGCCCTTCTCTTGCTCCTCCAGCCGCCGCGCCCGAGCCGCGCTGTCCCGCTCCGGAGCTGTATGTGCAGCACTTAGGAGGGGTCGGGGGCATGCTCTGATCCTGGCTCCCTCCCAACTAGGCTGGCGCTCCAGAGGACTTGAGCGCGGCTCCCGACCGGGAGAACCACATCCTCCAGTTTCCGTTCCTGAAACAGCTCGGCCACAAAGCCTCGCTAGAGAGCGCGCGTGGTGTCTAGTCCGGTTTGGGCTCAGTGTGACTCAAACGCTCCTTCAAAACAAAATAGCTCGGTCTCCAAACACGCCCCTCTCCCAACTTTAAGGAACTCCTTGCCTCTGTAGTCACAGCGACGAGACAGCGGGGCGTGAAAGAGTTGACAGGAAAACTACAAGTCATTTATTTACAGCTGGCCGCCCAGTGTCCAACAATCAGAGCCGCGTGCAGCGCGGGGGCCGCGGCGGAAGCCCTCCGCTCCGGGCCCGCCGAGGTCGTCCCGAGCGCCCGGGGCCGGGCCGCGCCAGGGGAGCTCTGCGCCGCGAGGGGCCGACGCCCGTGCCCGCGCCCCCACGTCCCGGCTGCGCAGGCAGCCACGGCCTTCGACCTGGCCCGGAACCCCTCCCGCGCTCCCGGCGGGCGCGCTCACGTGTGGCCGCAGCTGCCGATGGCCACCGGCCGGTGGTACACCTCCAGGCAGATGGGGCAACTGTACTGCGCCTCCAGGCCGCTGTCGCCGCCCGCAGGTCCGGCTGGCGGCTGCCGCTGATGAGCCGAAGCCACCAGGCTGCGGAACATCGCCATACCGGGCCAGGCGACGACGCCGCCCCCCGCCCCCGTCTAGGCCGGCCCGGCCCGCGCGTCACCGCCGCGATGGCGCCGCGCCCCCAACGCGTCACAGCCACGCCGGCGCCTCACGACGTCATGCGTGGCCGCCCCTGCCTCGCGTCACTGCCGCGCCGGCGTCGTGGCGTCATCAAGGCGCGCCCGCAACTCTACAGCTGTGACCGCCGTAAGGCCTGTTGAGCCATGTGCCAGGTGGGCGAGGACTACGTGGATCCGCCGCCCCGGGAGTGCCCTCCGGCGCCCAGGCCCGGGTAAGAGTCCGCAGCGCTCCGAGCCGGGCGAGGCCACGCTGCCGTCTGCCCCTCGCACTCGGGGCGGCCCTGTTCCGTCTTCACTGTCCTGTCACTACCCCTCGGTCGCGCAGAAGTTACCTGTCCTGGAGAGACTTAGGGTTCCCTGCGCCTTGAGAGCCGGCTTTTCCCGTCCCCACCCGGGCCTGGTCTTGGAACTGGCAGTTAGGACGGGGCATGGGCCCTTCCTTCCTCCGGTTCGCTTCAGGGCGGGAAGCGCGACGAGGTCTTCCCCGGGCCGCCTGTGACCTTACCCTCCTCCCTTGTCGCATTTCCAAAGCCGTGGGCAGAAGTGCGTGAAGTGCAAGGAGGGCAAGCCGGTGGTGGCGGTCCGAGCTGGCGATGCCTTTTGCAGGTGAGGCCGGGGCAGCACCATTTCGCAGACGATGCTTTTTTCCCAGAGGACGATTACCCCTTGTGAACTGCTCGCGTAGCTCCCTTTACCCTATTGCGGAGGGGAGGTGGGAAGTTAAGTCACCGTGATTAACTGAAGAGCAGCAAAATCCACAGGGATTTTATGGGCAGAGATGGAAGTGGGGGTGGCGTGTCCACACTGAGGTAAAATGGGCGCGGGGGGGGGGCATTTGCGGGCAGCTGGGTTACATCTAAGGGCAGATCGCAGCGTCCTCTGGGGAGCTCGGGCAGGGATTCTGGGTGGAGGTTGTTTATCTCATTAAATGCGGGATTTGTTTGTTTGTTTTTAATATGCAGGGTGTAGGAGCTTGAAAGAGCCCTGGCCTTTTCCCAGATGCTAGGGTTTTGGACAAGAACAAGGGTTTATTCCCAGAGGATCCGGGACATGAGAGTATTCCATTTTATCTGTAATTCTAGTGGTCCTTGACATCTTTTGTTTGTATAGTAACATTTTTGTATATGTCTGTTACTGAGATTGACCCTAGAGCCTTCACAACGAGCTATATCCTCCACCTCTTCATAATTTTTTAAAATTTTGAGACAAGGTGTCCGTTGTTAAACTGTTGTCTGTGCTGACCTTGAACTTGGAATCCTTTTGCTGTAGTCTCTAGGAGCTGGGATATTTTTAAGTCTCTCCATCCATTTTATAAAAAGTTATTACCAAACAATTACTTGCATATACAACCATCAATTCTAAATACTCTGACTTATACCTAAGAATTAGGATTTACCTAAGAGTGAGGCTGTTTTCTACTGACATAGGGTCTCCTTTCACATTCCAAGCTGGCCTTGAACTCGCTGGGTAGCCCATGCTGGCCTCAAGTTGGTATCAATTCTGCCTCAGCCCCCTGTGTGCTGGTTGGTAACATGTGTCCCCACACAGGGCTTTGGCTCCATTGGATCTCAGAACACTGTGGCTCCCACAGTTTGTGACTGTTTTGAAAAGAAACTCCTCGATTTGATTTGAAACTGTCTCATTGCTATGTTTATCAATAAAACTTTGAAAAGAAAAAAAAAAAAAAAAGAAATGTGTTCTCCCTTTTGGCTCAAGACTGTTCAACAATAAATAACTGTTTCTTGTCAAGGCAACAAGCTAACACTATCTCCCTCCCCAACCATCTTCTGTAATATAGTCAGCTTAAGATGTACCTTATAAAAATATGCACTTATCACTAAGCTGTGAAAGACCTTTTAGTTATGAACAGTTTGCAGCTGTGTCAAATGAATGCAGTTTCTGTTGTTCTGTACTAGATAACAAGTTTGCTTACAAAACTAGATGTGATTTCTGTTATAAAAACCCCTTGCTACCTATGTTCAGAGCCGATGAGCCTTCTCCTGCGAGAGAAGTGGCTGATGGACCTGAGCTCAGTAAATAAAAGGCTCTATTCACATTTCAAAAAGAAAAGAAAAGAAACTCCTGTCTCCATTGTTTGAGAAATAAGAACACTATTTTCATAATTGTCTTCCAGTGTAAAAAACTTCACAGACTGATTTACCCTATTCAAGGTAAATGATTCACTGCTACATTTGTTTGAATCATTCTGATCCCCAGCCCCAGTACTTCTTAAACACAAAATAAAATTCTGCACGAACTTTCATCTGTTTGGGGTTTCAAACTACCACCACAAAGTATCTTCAAGTGGCAGCAGTCTAGGAGACAAAGAAAAAGTAACTGAATTCAAATGTGTGCCGATGTAATTCCTGCTAATTTTACAGCACTGTCCGACAGCGAGACCCAACTGGTTCCTGTCCTGTCCACTGGGAACACACTCAGTCTTGTTTTTCCTTCATCCTCCTGCTCTGGAGATAGGTCTTGCGACGTACAGCGTCACTTCGTCCAGCTTCAGTTATCTGTTCTTCCCAAGATTTTATTTCATTATAATGACGAACGCTATCATCGTGGGCAAGCTGTTCCTATACGTGCTTCTGAGAACTAGACATATGTTTCCAGTTCTCATACGCAGACTTCCATTTATCCTGTATCGTAGCACCTCCAGAGGACTGAATATATTCAGACAGAAATATGTTATAAGCTGTGTGAGCTTTTTTTGGGTTTCCAAGCATCGCTAACTCTTTCTTATTACTTCTTTCCTTTTTAAATGTTTTTGTGCTTTATTTTCTGCCAAAGATGCTCTCTGAGCTGGAGTTAGTGTTTCATGAATTCTCTTCATCTCTTCTTGGTATGCCTTCAGCTCTACCTTTAAGCATCTTCATATGCTTTTTTCTCTGCATTAGGAAGTTCCTTCCATTGCTCTGCAATCTTTTCATTACTTTGTAACTTTTATATCTGGGTCTGAGCTTGAATTATGTTCATCTTTTCTTTAGCAAAGCGAATGTATGAATTCAAAGGTTTCTTCCGATATCCATTCATGGTGGATGAAAACCATTTTGGAACATACATAAAACTCCGTCCAATGATCTTGGTGGGAAACTCCAAAATGATACAGGGAGGAAAAACTGGTCTCTGGACCTGACCTGCATGAGTTTGTGTACTCTAAAACCGAAGGATGAATTTTAGGAACAAACAGAGGTTATGAGCAGAATATATTTATGGAGAGAAAGAAAGCTCCTGTCCTGAGATGGGGACGAAGGGGGGGGGATTGGGAAGTGTCTCTCCCCCCCCCCATGACCATTTTAATGTTTGGCCTTTTCCACTAGACTTGTAGCTCCCTACGGGGTGCCTGTTTTAGTTCTCTAGTTCTGGTGTAGTACGTGTTTGCTGAATGAGTGAAAGTCTCACTTTTATTTTTTTTTCTTTTTCCAGAACCAGGAATTGAACTCAGGCCCTTGCGCTTGCCAGGGAAACACTTATTCCACTGAGTTATCTTCCTGGCCCAAGTTTCACATTTTTAAGTTGGTCCCAGGAGACTTGCATTCTGGTTTCTAAAATGTTCTTTAAAACAAACAAACACATAAACCAACAGTGGGGGGACACTAGGAAACAAGAGATGGTTGTTCAGCTGGAAGTTGTGATTCTGTGGCTTTAGGACCCCGGCCTCTGTTTGCTTGAGGTGCCAGGCCCTTTCTGCCCAGGTGGCTGGCACGCTAGTCTCTGGTGGACAGGCCTGGAGGCTCGGCTCTGCATCCTGCTCCGTGCTTCCTTCTTCACCCAAGGGTGGTCCTGCTGCCTGGCATGCAGCAGAGAGGGTACCAAGCAGGCAGTCAGCACCTTTCTTTTTTTAAAAAAAGTTTATTTTGAAGAGCACCTTTCTGAAGGGAGACCAGGACAGCCCCAGCTTCAGCCTGCACTAGTGTGAGCCTCCCCCTCCCCCTAGTACTTGTGGGTTGTGAGGTGCACTTCCATACCATGTATGCTCACAGCTGGTAGGGCTTGGTGGGGACTCTTTGAGCTGTGAGGCTCTTGGGGAGCCTCTGAAGATAACCCAGCCTGGTGTGTGTTGCAGGGACTGTTTCAAGGCCTTCTATATCCATAAATTCAGAGCCATGCTGGGGAAGAACCGGCTCATCTTTCCTGGCGAGAAGGTAGCTGGGTGTGAGTCTGGGGGTGGTGAAGGGCTGGCTGTCTCCCTGCTGTCCTTTGCACCGCCTGCCTGGTGCCCCATGTGGTGGGAGGGACATGTTCCCACTGAAGGTGAGAGTTGCTTGCTGGTGTTTCTTCCTCTCCCTCCCAGGTGCTCTTGGCGTGGTCTGGTGGGCCCTCGTCCAGCTCCATGGTCTGGCAGGTCCTTGAGGTGCGTCTGCCCACCCCCCCCAAGCCCAGGATGCTGGGCAGAACTGGGATGGGGCCTCACTGCCCACACATGCCACGTAGGGCACCTAGAAGGTTCTCGCTGTATACACAGGCCTCCAAGCCAGCAGCCCCATGAGCCAGCTGTGCCCATATTAGTTTTGTTCCTTCACAGCTCAGCTTGATGTGACCTGTGGGGACAGATAGGGAGGGCAGCTCATTCACCGAGGGGGTTGAGGTAGGCACTCGTGCTGCAAATCCAGCAGATGCTGGGACATGTGTTTCCCTGTGGGAATGGGGAAGCTCCAAGGGTTTTGGCAGGGAGTGTAGAGCAGGCTTTGTGGGCACAGACTGGGAGGAAGAGGGCTGTGGTTATTGGAGTTGAGTGTCAGTGGCCCAGGGTCAACCTGGTCAAAGGGTGGGGCTGACCCAAGGCTGGCATATTATAGGACATCTCCGTACCAGCGTTGTATGCAGGGTCTGCCTGGCCTAAGTCTGAATGGCTTGTCTAATTAAGGGGGAAGGGTGCTGTTCCTGGCTGGTTTCTCCCAACCAGAAGTACCCTAAATCTGCCCATGTGGGGCCAAGATAAGGCCCAGCCCAGACCAAGTACCAGCTCCTCAGCCTGGCCCAACCCTGCTCTTCTGAGTAGTACCCAGCAGGTGGCACTGTGGCCCTCTGCTTGTCCTAGGTTGCTGGGTGTCAGGGACTGACTTAAGGGTGGGTTCTGAGGTTCTGCAGACAAGCTAGGGAGTATAAGGGACTGTTCGTGGCAGGAGAGACCAACAGCCACCCTTCAGCAAGTTGGGCTGTTCGGCTCCCCCACAGAGCTGCCTACCCCACCCCACCCCTGCTGCTTCACGGGGAAGGCAACTCCCTCCTTCCAGGGACTGAAGTCCAGAGACAGGGTCTGCTGAGAAGTGCCCTGTGGCTTGCAGACAGGGTCCAAGTCCCCTATGTGCCCCTTCTAGGGCCTGAGTCAACACTCTGCTAAGAGGCTGCGCTTTGTGCCAGGCGTTGTCTACGTAGACGGTATGTGTGGCTGTACCTCCTCCAGCCCCGGTCGCTTGGGTTGGGCCCCACGGAGCCTCCTGGGTAAAGGCAGGTCCAGGACAGGCATGGTCCTCATGCTGAGGTTGATGTTTCCCTGGGAGCCAGAGCAAGTTCCAGCTTCAGATGACTGCAGGGGCTGGGCATGTCTGTCCTCCCTGGCCCCACTGTGAGGCTCAGGGCCTGAAGAGGGCTAGTGGCCAGGACTGGGTGGGGGTCTGGTATTTGTAGCCATTAGGGCAGCCACCTGTGGCCTGTGTGGTACAGCAGATGTGTTGAGCCCTCTGTCACATGAGCCATGTCACCCCCAGCAGCCAAGCATTGGATAACAGCTGTTTTTTAAAACTAAAACCCCAGCATTCACATTTAATTGTAGTGTTGGCACTTGGCGATGATTAGTGGGTTTTGGATTGCAGTTTGGGTGCTCAGTCTCTAAGTCTCTAAGAGGTTTGCCAGCACTACACGGAGGAAACTTGTTGCCTAAATCAGAATAGTCCACACACACACACACCCATAATTGTCTGCATTGCCCTTTTGTTTATTTTGTAGTACTGGGGATTGAACCCAGGACTTTTTACTGAGCTACATCCCTAGCCTTTATTTTTCATTTTGAGGCAGGCCCTCACTAAGTTGCTAACTTGTCTAGGCTAGGCTGGAATTTGGGATCCTCCAGTCCCAGCCTCCTGGAGTGCTGGGGTCATAGGTGTGCACTGCAGAGCCCCTCAGCCATCACACTGAGGCTGAGCCCTGACCCTCTTTCCTTGGCTTTGCAGAGGGTGCAGTCTGTGGCCAGAGCCTGGAGGACAGAGCAAAGACTCTGGCCGAGGTGCAGCAGATTCTGTGCTCCATCAGCTTCCCCTGGCATGTAGTGTCCCTAGAAGAGGTGGGTGGCCTGCACCTGGCAGAGGGCCTGACAGGTGATGTGGGGACCTCCAGGCCTTGGCCTGGGCCTCACTGCCTGCCTGCATCACGAAGGTGTTCAGCCTGCCGCCATCAGTGCTGCGGTACTGCCCCCAGGACTTGGCTGGGACAGAGGGTGCCTACAAGGCGGCCGTGGACAGCTTCCTCCAGCAGCAGCATGCACTGAGGGCTGAGGGGGCCAAAGACGTTTGTGGCCTGGCTCCGGGGGAGGAGGAACGGTGCTGGCGCCAGAGCCAGGACCCTCACGGCCCCCTGAGTCTGGCTGGGTCCCCTACTGCTGCCCAGACAGAGGCCTTGTGCAGACTATTTGAGTCCGTGCGGACATTGACGGCCAAGGAGGAGCTTTTGCAGATGCTGCGGTGAGCCCACCCCCACCCCCACCCATTCCTCTCCAGGCCCAGATGACCTCTATAACGTGGCTTCTGTGTCCCAGGAGCCACCTGATCCTGCATGTAGCCCGAGCCCACAGCTACTCCAAGGTGATGACTGGGGACAGCTGTACTCGCCTGGCCATCAAACTCATGACCAACCTGGCCCTGGGCCGAGGGGCCTTCCTTGCCTGGGATACGGTACATAGGGCCCCTCCCCACCTGTCTCCTTCACTTGAAGGCTGTAGCTGTGGGTCATTCTGGGATCTTCCATGTAGAGGGGGCTTGGGACTGACTCCAGCTTGGTGGGTGGTGCAGCTAGGACCTCAACCAACAGCCCCATCTCCCCAGGGCTTCTCAGACGAGCGTTATGGGGATGTGGTGGTGGTACGGCCCATGAGGGACCATACACTAAAGGAGGTGGCTTTTTACAACCGCCTGTTTGCTGTCCCCTCGGTCTTCACGCCAGCTGTGGACACTAAGGTAGGTCCTTGAGTTGAGCTGCATGGGTGAGGTAGGTGGTTGCCCTTCTACATTGAGCTAGAGGTCCCGGCACAGTCAAATGGCAGTCTACACGAGCCAGATACCCACTGCACCCCTTCCACAAGCTGGTCTGATGTCCCAGCCCCTGCTGCTCTGCCTCTGGTGTGCAGCAGGATCCCTTGGGTCCTCACGGCACCCTGTGTCTTGAAAGACCAGGCTGATCCCTGCTGGCACACTGGCTACTATGACTTCAGGGGCTGTCCTCTGCAGGAGACCCACCCACAGCCCCTGCTTTTGTCTCCAGGCCCCTGAGAAGGCCAGCATCCACCGGCTGATGGAGGCCTTTGTCCACAGGCTGCAGGCCCAGTTTCCCTCCACAGTCAGCACTGTGTACAGGTGTGTGTAAGCAACATGCACAGGGGTACTAGGAAGCAGCAGGGCCCAGCAGGGGACACCAGTGACCTGCGCCTCCTCCCCCAGGACGAGTGAGAAGCTGGCCAAGGCACCCAGGGAGAGCTGTGCGGAAGGGCCTCAGGGCCCTCGCTGCCTCCTCTGCCTGTGCACCCTGGACATCGATGCTGCTGGTTTGTACTGGACCTCCTGGGCTGTTGGGGTGGATGTTGGGATTCAGCAGTCCCATGGTCCCCTCAGCCCTTTTCTGCTTGCAGACAGTGCCACAGCTTTTGGGGTTCAGACATCAGCTCTCTCCCAGATGCCACCATCCACCCTGCAGGCTGAGGCTGGGATACCCACTACACCCTGCAGTGCTGTGGGCGGTGGCCCAGGCTGCTGTGGGAAAGCTTGTGGGAGGTGAGTCCCTGCTGGGGCCAGGACCCACTTGGGGCAGAGTCCCAGAGGCTAGGCACACAAGTTCAGCTGTTTCCATAGGGAAGGTGACAGCCAGCCCCAGGTCATAAAGCAGCTATGCTATAGCTGCCGGGCGAACATGAAGGATCTGGTAAGTGGGTAACCGCCTCTCCCTTGTGGGGTGCTGTGCTTGGGCTCTGCTGCCCCTTACCCACCCTGACTTCTGTTGCAGCCCTCCCTGGACCCTCTGCCCCCCTACATCCTGGCCGAGGCCCAACTCCGCAGCCAGAGGTATCAGTCCTATTTGGTAGGGTCTCTGGGTGGGTGGGAGACCCCAGGGCTGTTTCCCACACATGCTTCCCACAGGGCCTGGGTCATGCAGGACATCCAGGAGTATCTGATCAAGGACAGTGCCGACGAGGCAGAGACCACTGAGAGCTGAGCCAGGACACACGTCTGGCCCGTGTGGGCAGCCCTCCCTTCAGCGGAAAGCAAGGCCATGGAGTTGGCTTGGGCTTGTCCATTTGTATAAATAAAAAGGCTTTAATTAGAAAACTCTACAGTACATGTGAGGCAGGGTGGGCAGTCCAGGCCCAGGGTGGCTGCACTGGGTGCATGAGGCCATGGGGGCAGTGTCCTTCCAACAGCAGCAGCAGGTTTCAGGTGGGCCAGGGAAGACACGTGGCAGCTTCGGCCCTGGCCCAAGGAGTGCCACCTACGTTGGTGGCTGTGCTGCCTGCAGGCAGCTCCTTCATTCCCGGTGCCCAGGAGCCAGGCTCCTACTCCTTCTCGCGCGTCCACTTGATCATGGTCTCTGGGGAGCGGTATAGGAAGATGAGCTTGGCGTATAGCTCCTCCTCCAGCTCCAGCTCCCGTGTCTCTCGCACCAGGAAGATGTCCTGGCACAGCTTGAGGATGCGGTCCACGCAGGGCAGCTCCTCGAACATGATGGAGTGTGAGATCTCACTGAAGAAGCCACGCACGAACTTGCCAATGACCAGCACAATGGACACGTAGAGTCCCATGATGCTGCAGAGGGGTTGCAGGGGGGTGAGGCTGGGTGTGACAGGCCCACCCTGACCACAGGGCGTCCCTAGCCCTGCACTCACCCGTAGCCAGCCAGAAATCCCAGGCTGGGTGGGCTGACCTTGTCACTGAAGATGACCATGGGCAGCAGGTTGCAGTTGGCCTGGCAGTCCTGCAGCTCAATGACCCACCACTCCAGGAAGCCAGCAGCCCCTGAGCCCACCTGCTCCCTCCGCAGCTGGATGCGCACACCAAGGTAGTCGGCCTCCTCATCTGGGGTGAGCCAGGAGAGTCAGAGCCCCGGGCCACTGCCCCCCTCCCTGAGCTGTGTTCCAGTCTCCAGTCCCCATACTCACTGGGCTGTAGCTGCTTCACAGGGCTGGCCTCAGGCCCGTTGGGGGCACGGATGTACTTGGGGAAGAGGTGAGGGATGACACTGTGGGAGGGAGGCAGGTCAGATCCCAGCAGCACCTCCTGTCGATGTTGCCCGCCCACCCCACTCACACAGACTGGTCCGAGGTGCCCTCCAGCAGGCGGGCCAGCTGCCGCCGCTCCGTGCTATTTGGGGCCAGCTCCAGGGTATGCTTCTCATTGGTGTACTCCACGGTGCTGCCCTTGGCCAGGTCCCTGCAGGTGGGCAGGGGCAGAGCATGACACACTGTGAGGCTGGTCCCTGGGCCCCGGGCACAGAACCCACCTCTGGAAGTTCCAGGTGAAGCGCAGGGTGATGTCAGCTGTGCCATTGTACAGCTCCCGCTTCATCTGCGCCCGGCTCGGGGGGCTGATGCGCCATAGTGCCCCAGAGCTGCCCTCGATCTGTGCTGTGACGATGTCCTCAGGACTGTACTGGCTGATGAACTGCATGGCCAGCTGTGGCAGGGTAGGGGAGCCTCAGTGGGGAGCTGGCACCCCACCTGGCCCTCCCACCCAGCCCCGCAGGGTCTACTTACTGGGTGGGGGTCAAACTGCTGAGACAGTGCCTCGTAGGCCTCGGGTGTAAAGGGCACAATGGACGGCTGCTGGGCACTCATGGTGAACAGGGGCTGGGGCCGGGATATCATGAGTGGGTGCTGGCAGCCCCCAGGCCCAGCCCATGTTTCATACCCTGCCACCCCCTGCATCCCCAGTGGGAAAAGATGGGCAGGGCTGCTCACCTCGTAGCCTCCCAGCTTGAGGGTGACTGTGACGTCAATGGGCTGGTTGACAACACCGACCACGGAGCGTACCAGGGACATGAAGAGCAGTGGAAACCAGATGATGGCAATGAGGAAGAGAATGATGAGGCCACCCATGCCATACTTGACAATCTTTTTCTTCTTCTGCCCTTTGGGCTGTGGGTATTTCTGGGAGAGGAGAACCAGGTCACCATCCCAGCCCTCAGGTGCCATCTCTGCACCTTGACCTGCCATCAGCAGAGCTGAGCTATGCTGTGGTCATCTCCTCCCAGTGGCAGTATGGATGCAGGCTGGTGAACCCAGAGATGACCCTCTCATTTAGAACCAGCTGGCTCTTGACAGGATGCTGGCAGTCAGTGGCACAGCTGTCAGCAGTTGGCACTGGGCTGTCCTTGGAAGTACAGAACAAAAGACCAAGAAAGTAAGAGGCATCCTGTGGCATGCAGACTGCAGCAACCAGTATGCTCAAAGGACCTGGCCTGCAGCAGAGCACTCAGGGCCCGAGCAAGCAATTCTCGGAGCCAGCAAGTCGCCTGCCCAAGAGGGCAGAGTCATGGGTGAGAAAGGGCAGAGCTGCGTGCACTCCACTACGGGAGAGGTGGAGGCCGAAGGAGACGCGCACAAGGCCAGCCTCGAGCCCACACAGCCAGCAAACAGTGGGGTGACTGCTGGGCAACAGGCGGGTCCTCAGAATCTCAGCAGCCACGCCCCTCCAGGGAGCACCCCAGGGAAGGAGGGTATGTCCTGGCATCGCAGGGCTGCTGCAGCAGACAGAACACAGAGCAGCCTGACAGGAAAGGGACTTCACACATCAGGCGGCGTTCAGCTAGACAGGAGTGACAGAGCTGCAGCATGGGGGCAGCTGGCCACCAAAGCATGAAGGACTGGCTCTGTCTTGTGATACATCTGTGACAGGCAAGCCAGAAACCAGAGACGGCCATAGGCTGGGGAGGGGAGAGGGAAATAGTCGCGAATTGATTGTACTAAATCAATCACTGAAAGTCACTGAGAGGTGCACTTATGTGGGTAAATCACATTAAAGAGAAAAAGCTGCTGACAGTGTCCCATCTAGTTTGTCCTGCTCCCAAGAGTGTCACACCCACATCCCTCTCTGTGGCCTCCTGTCCAGTGATCCTCCCGGGAAGTAGGGCACACACACATGCACCCCCACCCCTGGCACCTTCTCTGTCTCGCGACTGCACTTGATGATGAAGATGTTGGCATAGATGTCCTCCACGCACATCCAGCTGGACAAGGACAGGGTGGTGTCTGTCCACACCCAGTCCATGACAGCCCGCAGCTCCACCAGGAAGGGCACCAGCCGGAACCTACAAAGCCAGGACTGTCAGAGCTTCTGACTCCACTGCAACAGGCTAAGGCAGACTTCAGGCAGACCACGCTCACCCCTGGAAGAGGAAGAGGTTCAGGTGGTTGTACTTCTTGGTGAGGAAGTTGCCAAGGATACGCGTGGGGTAGCCACAGCGGATCTGGTAGGCTGACAGGGCAAAGTAGATGCACTTCACAAAGTACCACAGCTGGGCCACTGCATTCTGGCTGAACATCCTGGGCCGAGATGTAAGAGTCAGTAACAGTCTCTACAGATCCCAGGCCTGCCACACATACGAGGGCTGACGTGCATGGTGGAAACCAAGCCCTGAGGCCATAGTGCCCACCTCTCGGTGACAGCCGGCAGAATGAAAAACATCCAGAGGTGGATGGCCACCACGAGCACCACCTGGAAGGCCAGCTTGCCCAGCACGGTCTTGCGCAGGTAGAGGGCTCGGTCGACCACCATGGTGCTGAACTGGATCAGCAGCATGACCAGGAAGGCCTCTGGCACCTGGTCATCTGACAAGGAGGACGTGATGTCTGTGGCCGCAGAGTGCTTCTATAGCCAGAGAGCATGGGTCAGGGTTAGGGCTGGGCCCAGGGGTGCTGAGCTGTGCACACTGGAGCCCCAACCCAGCTCACCCCAAAGGCCCAGAAGCCAAAGATGATGATGACAAAGTCAACGACATCAGCCAGGAACATGAGTGCATAGACGTCAGTGGCTGCACGGTACTTGGTGTGTAGGATGTCGCGGAAGAAGCAACGCAGGGGCCGGTAAGTGCTCTGGGCCCTGTGGGTGGGCAGGCAGGAGGGCTCATTGGGCGCCTGGCCTTGGGGCCCTGCTTCCCCCTTGGTCACCCCCAGGCCATGTCTCACAGTGACAGGCAGAAGCCCTGCAGCTGGCGCCCTGCTGCCTTCATACGTTCTCGGCAGCGGCTGGGCCTTGTTCTCCCAGGCGTCTCTCTCTCTTCCCTGTTCTCGGCTCCTGTGGAGGAGAAGCTGCTGGCTCGTACCTGGGTATGGCTGCTCACCTCCTCAGGGGCCGGCATGGTGACACCTGCAGGTCTCTCAGGGATCACGTGTGGGGCAGGTCCTGCAGCTGGGGTGAAGCCAGTGGCAGGATCCTCCCTTTACCCAGCAGCCAGGACCCCACAGCTGAGTGCTGCCCTGAGCTTCAGGAAGTCCCCACATAGGCCTGGTCTCTCTGCCCCTCTGCCTCCCAGAAACATGGCTGAGGCTGTACAGGGCCCCCCAGAGGCTTGATTGTGGGTGAGAGCCTCTTACCAAGGGTCACCACTCCCTTTGGTCCTGGACTCTCCTTCTTCCTAAAGCGCAGACTGATGTGCCTCATGTCCTGGGGCTTGAGGTCCACTTGGGGCTCAGGTGCCCCATCCCCAGATCCGACCCTCACATCCACCTGGACAGGGTCCTGGCTGGTGGCCCCAGCCATGCCTGGCTCCTCCTGCTGCCCTGTGTCTGTGTTGGTCTGTTCCTCATAGTCCCAGAGGCCATAGCACTGCAGGAAGGCAGGGGCAGTGAGGTGGCCACCTCCACCAGGCCAGGGTCCACTCTCTGGGCGCCACACAACACAGTGCTCACCAGCAGCTGGGAGCGGTGGAAGAAGAGGGCCATGAGCTGCACCAGGTCGTACTTGATGTAGCTGTCGGTCTTCTCCAGCCCCAGGATGCGCGGTGGGAAGTAGGGTTTGTTCTCATAGCGCCGCAGGACTGTGTGGCTGTTCCAGGGGAAGAAGCCGAACTGGAACAGGTACTTGGTGACCACGGTGACCTGCAGGGGAGGCTGGTGATCACTGAGGCCTGCGAGGAGGCCCTCTGGGCCCTGGCCAGGCCCTAAGCCACCGGCTGCCCTGCCCACCTCGGTGAAGACAATCGCTGTCATCCAGAAGCGCTTGCTGGGCCTGGGGATGGACAGCATGGCCCACAAGAACACAAGCACTGGCAGCGCCAGGGAGGCAGCTGAGGCCGTGACCATGTGGTTGAGGATAATGATGAAGTAGCAGAGCAGCTCCGAGTGGGCTGCCACACACTGGTACAGAGCCCACAGCAGCCGCAGCGCTCGGCCCTGCTGGGCAGTGAAGTCCTCCGCGTCCTCTAGCTCCTGGATGTGTAGGCGCCTGTGGGGTGACTACGGTGGGATGTGCAGCCCACATGCCACCACGTCTGCCACCACAGTAAGGGAGGGACCCACCCAGCAGCACCTGCCCGCCTGCTGCACACCTGAGGCTCAGCAGCTCACTGGCTGTGCGCATCCTCGGGCGGGCTGGAAGCTCCTGCGAGCCATGCAGGGAAGCTGTGGCATCCACGGCCATCTCCTCGCTGCCACTGCGGGTGTTGTAGCCTGTGCTTAGGGGGCTGCTGGTGTCATCTGTCATGCTGCTCAGGGGCTCCTCGGCTCCCAGCCCGCTGTGGGAGGGAAGTGGGTCAGAGATGGCCAGCCCTAGGCTCCGTGGATGGACAGTGAGGTGTGGAATGGCGGGGTGGTGTTGCACCACCCCCAGGAACTCAGTGGTCAGCTCTGGGACCTACCTGGACGTAGTGCTGGGCCCATCGCGGGCCTCCAGGGGGCCGGGCAGTGTGGACTCATCGCCATTGTCATCGTACAGTTGGTCCAGCACGCTGCGGTGTACTTCCCCACCCTGCAGGACACAGCAGGGTCTCAGGACCATACGTACCCATGAGGAGCAGCGCCCACGTCCCAGAGCCCGGGGTGGGCACAGGTCTGGACACTCACCCGCAGGAGCTCCTGCGTGAGCAGGTAACGCTCAGCACGCAGCACATCGCTCATGTTGCGGTGGTGCCGTGTGAAGGCCAGCAGCCAGCTTGTCAGCCCGTCCACTGAGGCCTGGCCCAGCACCCAGAGGAACTGCACGGTGTTCAGCACACGCTGCATCACATGGCTGCGGCCTGTGGGACGTGTGTTCTGGAAGGGCTGCCCTGGGCCCCTCCCCCACAGCTCCCTGACCCCAGCCCACACACCTGCCACCTCAGACTCCACAGCTTCTCCTGGCTCTGCTTCCTGACTCAGGCCACCTCCTGGGCACAGTGGACTGGTCAGCACCTCAGCCCTGTGGCCCCACAGTCTCCCCCCACACCCCAGAGCACAACTCACCCAAGGGCAGCTGTCCTGTCCCATCAGGCTGTGCCTGCACCCGTGCCCGCTCCTGCTCCCGCCGCTGCCTCAGCACCATCTGGGCGTTGGTCACCCACGCCTGGTAAGCCATCTGCCAACCAAGCACTGGGGTTAGGAGCTAGCTTTGTGAGGAGGTTATCCACTGAGCCCTGGCCACCAGTCCCTCCCGAGGAAGAGGAGGAAGCTGGGGTTGGCTGGTCCTAATGCCAGGTCCGGATGTCTCTGGAGCACATGGTGCACACATCTCTCCTGTGTGTCCCTGTCACTCAGGGCTCTGAAGATGGACAAGCAGGCTCTCCTGACCTTGGGATACAGATATGTCCAGCTAAAACATGGAGCCCAGGCCAGTTTGGGCCAGGACCTTGGGAGGTGGCAGCAAGAAGAATGAGGGGCCCCACAGGCCCCTCCTGTTCACAGCTGGGTTTGCCAGCTGCCTGGGGTTGGGCTGGGTGCTATGCAGGAGCTGGGCTCTGGGCCCTGAGGCAAGGCTCAGAGCAGTGCACACCTTACCTGGAAGGCACTCTGTGCCGACTGTCTGGAGTCCTCGGGAACAGCTTCCTCTTCCTCCTCACTGTCAGACTCAAACAGGAAGTAGTCCCCAGAATGGATGACTGCAGACAAGGCGGAGTGAGCCAGCCGCCCCTAGCTTGCCCCCATACCCTTGGGGTCTCCCGTCAGCCTGCTACCACCCACATGGCCGGCCTTCCGGGCCATGGGACAATACATGTAGGGCTCAGCAAGCTGGGGGCAGTGGTGATGCACAGGACACAGGCCAGAGCAGGACAAGACCAGACTGGACAAGGAGGCAGGGAGCAGTGGGGTATGGGGTGCAGGACATAAGGGGTGCTCAGGCAGGGTACCTGTGGCGTGGTCCAGCCAGGGCTGCCACCACTGTCTTTGTGGCAGGGAGGAACCCCCGGGGCTGCCGGGCCCTGTGAAGGGGCAGGCGCGTGAGGCAGCCGTGAGGAGCCTGAGGAGGACGCAGGGGACAAGGGCCACACAACAGGCAGACAAAAACAGACACAGGGCCCCATGGCAGCGATGTTGTATGGTGCCATAGGACTCAGCCCTGAAGGGACAGGGTGGGTGCTCATGTGTACAGACAGACATCACGGTGCCCACACAGCTGGCTCAGCCCAAGGGGACAACATCACATGGCATAGGGAGATGGGCACAGATGTGCCTGCATGCAGGGCTTTGTCCACACTCACCTGGCTCCTGGCCAGGATCCTCAAGGTCCAGGGCCTGGGGGCGGCTGCGGCTGGCACGACTCTGTCTGTGCTTCTCCTGCTTGGCACGGATGCGTTTCATCCTGCGGAAGGCAGGAAGGTCTCAGCCTGAGCCACAGGAGGAGTCAGCGCCCTGCCCGGGGGGTACCTACTGTCTCTTCAGCTGCGCCAGGGACTTCTCCTCTGCCTTGCGGTGGGCTTCGATGCTCTTGTGACTGGCCGCATTGTAGAGGGCGAAGCCCCTGGGGGAGTGGCAGGCCAGGGTTTAGCTTGGGGCTGCAGGAGATGGACCCCACCCCTGGGCTCACTGGCCCTTCTCCCTGCTCATCTATGACCCCTTGGCATCTGCCAACCAGGCCCCCACACTGTGTTCAGGGAGAGAAGCGATCCTCCTGGAGCCTTCAGTCCCATGGGGCAAGAGGGGAGGGGCTGTACCTGCTCCCTCGCCCTCGGTAATTTGGGGCAGGCTAGGTGAAGCTGGCCCTTATCTTAGCTCCAGGGCAGATAACGACCTGTCACCACCCTCAGGTGGAGGGCTACTCAGGCATCGGGTGCATCAACACCCTCCTAGCCACTGGTCGGTCCCACGGCTGGCGGATGAAAGCCCTGCACCTCCTGCAGGGTGAGGACACACAGCAGACATGCCCTCTCTTGTCAGGCCCTGGGAGGGGCAGACCTGGAGGCCTGCAAGGCAGTAGCCTGCAGGTCGGCACGGACATGCAGGAAGTAGTAGCTGAGGAAGATGCGGCGCTGCAGCAGCAGGAAGAAGAAGCAGACGCTGTCCCAGATGATGCCAGCCTCCTCCACAGGCAGGCGGCAGTCCTGGTCCTTGGTCATCATTGCTTTGGCTGTGGGGTGGTGCCGTCAGAGTCAGAGCAGGGCAGTCGCTGGGGTTCCCTGACCACCAGCCTTGCCCACTCACGGTCATAGTAGCCCTTGACAGTGCACACGAGGCTGAAGAGCTGGATGACCCAGCAAAAGTTGGTCTGCATTTGCTCTACGAAGACGCAGGACAGGAGCTGGAGGCAGGAGGCAAGTCAGAGGTGGCTGCCAGTGTGGAGAGGGGCTGGGGCTGGGGGCAGATGTGAGGCTGGCTCACCGAGAGCATGTTCTTAGAGATGATAACTGTGACGTTGTAGAGGATGAGACAGTCCCACAGCACGAGGCGGGCCCGTGTGTCCTTCTGCAGCAGCGCCGTACCAAAGAGCAGCAGGTAGAAGCAGGCCAGCAGGTAGCCCAGCCCGAAGACACTGATGCGGGTGGCACCAGTGACAAAAACCACCACTAGCACCAGCCAGAACAGATAGCGGAATACAGCCACCTTCAGCATGTCCAGGTAGGACCTGCAAACGGTGGACAGCAAGGCAGGAGGGGTATCACTCGGGTGCCTGGTCCTCTGATAGAGGGCCCCGTGGGCAGGCGCAGGACCTACCTGCAGTGGATGAAGTTGGGCACAGGGTTGGGCTCGCCCCGCAGCGGCTCCAGGGAATCAGTGTTGACACCAGCCATGCGCTGCCACTCCTCAGTGTGCTCAGCTGAGAACACCTGCCACTGCTGGGAGGCACAGAGCAGCAGGAGGAAGTCACCTGCAGGACACACAGGCCATGTGGGACACTGCTGGGACCGCCATGCCTCGGACCCAGAGTGCACTGGGGCGGGGTGGACCCCTGGGCTCCACGGGGCCTAGGTGTGCAGGTGTCCTGAACAGTCCCTGGCAGACGTGGAGGATCTACATTCTGTGCCACGGCACACAAGGGACCACTGGTGCCTATGTGGTCTACTCACAGAAGAGGCCCTGGCCACCACCCTAGTCTGCAAGACCTGGGCCACTGGGCCCTGGCTGGCTTGAGAAGTGTCCCCTCTTCCTCCAGAGTATGTCCCCAGGGTAGCACTCACTGATGAGGTTGGTGGAGTTGGGCGCCCTGAAGAAGTCTGGCAGGTAGAGCCACTTGATAAGGGCAGAGTTCATGGGGATGGCCTGGCTCCAGCGCCACGGGTAGTCTGCAGGGACAGGGCTGTCAGGAAGTCCCACTACCTGGGCCCACAATGTCCCTGTCTGCCAGCAGCACCCCAGGGCCCACGGTTCCCCCACTAAGAGCCCGAGTCACAGGAATCTTCCCTTCCCCCCTCGACAGCCTCAGATCACAGCCACTTGCACCAGAGTTTCTGGACTTCGGCAACCAGAACGCAGCATGTCCCACCCACAAGCAGTTCTTCAGTGGAGAACCGCAGTATGCTCAGTCATGTAGCAAAGGAGCCCAGCAATAGGCCAGAGCAGGCAGGCGGGCTCCCCGCAGGAGGAGGTGCATTCAGGACAGGATGGCTCCATGATAATTTATACAAAGAAACCCAAAAGCTGGAAATAGCCCAGATGTCCTGGATCAGGGAGAGTGGTGTTGAGCTCTACTGTGGCACCCCACAGAACAACACTCTTAGCAACCAGGAAGAGTGGAGGGTCGATACACGCACCCACTTCCAGTGAAAGGAACCTTTCCCCAGTACCGGGGTTGCGCCCAGAGCCTTTATGCCATGTTATGCTAACCCTCACCTGTAAACGCTAAGACCCAGGATCACTACTGCGTTGCTAAGTAGCCCAGGCTCAGCACCAACTTGTGACCCTCCTGCCTCAGCTACCCAGAGTGCTGGGATTCCAAGCAAGCCCTACCACACCCAGATCTTGGAGGAATAGGAAACCCCTTGCTAATTCTACTTACAATGCAGTCTTGGACGAGCAAAGCTAGAGATGGAAAATGGGCTCATGGTTGCTGAAGCTGGGGGTGGGGTGTGCTGTGGCCATACCACAGGACACTGGGGAAGGGCAGGGTGGGATAAAGACACGTGTGGCAGCCTGAAGAATGGATACCACCCAGGGGAGCTCACTGCAAAAGGCACATTTCCCTGGCTGTGGGGGCCAGGTGCTGTGCATTGTGAACTTCAAGGACACAGCTCCAAAGGGGCATCTGAGCAGCTTTGGAAAACAGGGCTCCTCTCAAGGACAAAGCCACCAGCCAGGATGGCCAGGAGTGGGAGTGCCCATGCACCAGTGCCAGGCCCAGCTCAGTGCCCATACACCACTGTATGGGAGTGGGCTCCGTGGGGGCCACTGTAGGGCAGAATCATGACTCCCCGAAGCCAGGCAACATGAGGGATAAGGTTCCGAGTAGATCCCACTGTGGAGCCGAAAGTCCGCCACCATGAGGATAGAGACAACAGAGGAAGCAGGAATGGGGTTGGGGGGACAGATGCCCTCCCAAGTGCCAACTGAGGGAACAGATGAACTGGGAAACTGAATCACCCAGAAAAGCCTGCTGCCGACAGGAAGGGCTCAGACTAGAGGGGGAGACGCTGCATACACTTAAGGTATCTTCCCTAGTGCAGTTACTAGTCACAGGGAGGAGGACATACCCCACACAGGCAAGCTGTGTGGACTACTGAGATGGAGCCAGGACATTCGACACCAGCCGTAAAAAGATGCTGACCGCAACGGAGCAGAGGACACCAGGCTTGCAGTGGTGCCCAAGGCCACGGCCCGGCTTATGGGAGACACACAGAGGGATGGTCTCGAGGAAAAGGCCTGGCTCTGCTCTACCAGTGGAAGACAGAAAAAGACAAAGGAGCTGTCCTAGTGGGAGAGGCCAAGAAGGAAGCAGAATGCAGCGCTGTAGACAGGACAACACTGGCGGCCTGGAGACAGCAGAGAGCTCCCTGTCCAGGCGCGTGGCATCATGCCACAATTGCTTTCTTAGTTCTGGGCATTGTCTGGGGATCTGTGAGAGGCTGGCACCAAGGAAAATGGCAACAAGGTTCTGGGAAACTTGGCACCACCTTGGCAGTTCTTTGGTATGTACAGAAAGTTAAAAAGCCAAGGCACGAGGGGGGGCACCTACAGATTTGTGAAAAGGGACGAATCTCGAAAAGTGATGACGACATGCCACTGTATCTTCTCCGGACACCTGAGGCCGCGGCACGCAGTTGTGTCTGGCTGTGTGGCTTGGCCTCAGTCCTCCCCACCCACTGCAGCAGATCTCTCCCCTGGGCACCCAGACCCTACTGCAGCTGCAGCGCCAACAGGGTAGCACGCTTGTGTGTGCCCCGCCACAGGTCAACTCCAGAGAACGTGGACAGAGACAAGAAAGGGGCATAGGGGCCCCTGGCTGACCTAGACCCCTGGGGGCTGGGAAGGAGGGGTCGAGACTGCAGCAGAGCCCAAGCTTCACAAGGAGAAAGCAAGAGGAGGAAGCCTTGCTCCACACAGCAGAGCCACAGCAGCAGCCAAGCCCAGTGTCCCCACTGCTGCACCGCGTGCCACAGGGACCATGGTCCACAATGCTGATACACAGGCAGGCGAGAGAGGTGACCCTGACTCCAGGTGTGGGCCACGCTGGATGGTGCCACCAGGGTAACAGTTTTGCCTTAGTTGTTCCTGGGCAGGGAGAAGAGTGAGTGTTGCGCTAATCTTGGAAGGAGAAGAGTGTTGGGCCAAACAGGAAAAGAAGGGAGGCTCAGGAGATGAGGTCACAGCCTAGTGCACTACAGCTGCGCCAGCACAGCCCACAGGCTGCACTGTCTCAGTGCACACAGGCTGGGTCTGCTGGGGTGGGCAGTGCAGGAACCAGGCCAAGATGAAGCCACATGCCACTTCGCAGTCCACAGCGCACAGCTGGGACATGCCACGCCCAGCAGGTACTCACTGTACACAAGCACCAGCGCTTACCACTGTCCGTGGGGCCAGGACAGACGCTGCTCAGCAGGTGCCAGTACTCACCGACGCACAGGGCTGGGGGCATGCCCAAGCACAGCAGGTACTGGTATAGCAGGAAGAGTGTGAGGAAGAGGCAGTAATTGGGCCAGAAGCGGGCGATGGCCTCGCGGCGCCGGCGGGTCAGGATGGCTACCAACCAGCAGCCGTGTAGGATGACCATGAAGTTCATACGCTGCCCAATCACATTCACAGCCATCAGGAAGCAGATCTGGAGAGGTGGCGGGCATGGGGACAGATTGCCTTGGAAGTGGGTGCCAGCCCACCCAGGGCCCCAGTCTCAGGGCTGCAGATGACAGGAGTGGGGGGCTTAGAGCACCTGCCTGAGCACACGGGGGAGGGGGCAGCAGAGGCTGGACACATCTCAGCACTTATGGGGGAAACTGAGGCTCAGGGATGTGAGGTCCACGGCAGTGAGACACTAACCTCAGACACTGGCCAGCCTGGCTTCTCCTTCCTGCCCTGGGCGTTGTGGCTGGGCTTGCTGCACCCTGCTCGCCCTGAACACACCTACCCTTTCCCTCAGCCTGAGGACGGGCCAGGTACCGTGAGCTGGTTCAGGCCCTGTCTTACCTCCAGCCCAAATTTGTAGAAGAAAAAGTTGATGAAGTACTTGAGGCAGCTGAGCAAGTCCTGGTCGAGCCGTTGGCGGGTGCCATCGGCACACACAGCTTGTGCAGGCAGCGGCGTGTGCTGGTGCTGCCGGCGGTAATGCTCTTGGCCACGGTACACCATGGCCTCAAACACCAGCAGCAGCAGGATCTGCAGGTGGTTCTAGGTGGGGAGGGCCAGAGTCAGCAGGGAGCTAGGTGGGGCCACCCACACTGCCTGCCTAGCCCCAACTCACCTGGATGTAGCCCAGGTTAGGGAAGCCCTTCCGCACCCCGAACCAGTTGGCAGGATCCACTGGGCCTTGATACAGGAGCGACTGGCGGATCTCTGCTGCTTGCAGGTTGGTGCTATTGGGCAGGGGCTGAGAGGACCAGACATTAGCACCAGATCCTGGGCCTACCCCTGGGGGTACCCGTCCTGCTCTGAGCCCATCCCAGAGCTGCCCATCCCAGGCACAGAGCCTGCCAGCCTAGGAGCTGCCTCCGTGGGAAAAGACCTGGCGCTTGAGGGGTGGCCTGGCCATGTACCTCGGTGCAGTTGCTGGCGTAGTCCTGGGGGTTGACCACCTTGAGCTGGTAGAGCATCTTACACACTATGATGATGCAGGTCCACACAGTGGACAGGCAGGAGGCCATGGGCCGGAAGCGTGGGTAGGGCAGGGCAAAGGCCCACAAGACCACTAGCAGGAGGTTCATCACCGACACCTGCAGGGTGGAGCAGCCCATGGGGTGGGGCGGGGACAGGCTCGGCAGGGCCAATGTGCTTTCGAGGAGTGAATGAGGCTTTGGGGTAGCCGGGCCACCCGGCTTACCTCCTTCAGGGCCACCCACACGGTGTACAGAGCTACCAGCTTGAAGATGTGCAGCTCCAACAGGCGGCGCAGGAACACCTGCACTCGGGTGAGGACATCCGAGAAGCTGGCGGCCAGGTCCAGCAGCCGCTCAGCCACTAGGCCCCACTTGCTGGCTGCACCTATGGTGAGGGGGTGGTGGGGAGGGGTCTCAAAATCCTGGAGCTCAGCCTCTCCCTGACCTACCTGGGAAGCCCTGCCATACCCCTCACCTTCAGGGACCTGTGTGGCCTGGCCAGGGCCGTGGGTGTTGAGCTCCTCCTCCCTAGAGGGCGCCTCCTCCTCCTCTTCCTCCTCGGGCTGCTGCAGCAAGGGGTCCTCGCTCACAGCATCCTGCCTGGAGAGCCAAGTCACTGGGAAATGCCACCTCCACCCCTACGTCCCTGCACAGTTCGTGCCGCAGCACAGGCCAGGTGCTCTTGACCCCAACGCCCACGCCACTCCCAGCCCCACAGGTATGAGAAGACATCCCAGGCCTGAGACCCTGGCCCAGTAAGAGCCCAGCCAGGTGCAGTCTACCCAGTCCACCAGCAGGAATTGGGCTGTACCTGTGAGCCCAGCGCGGACGCCGGGTGCCTGGTGGAGGCACGTGCTCCAGGTCGGTGAGCTGCATGAAGGGCCGGTGGAAGTAGTGCAGCTGCAGGATGCAGGCGAGCAGGAAGAAGCCGGGGATGAGGATGCTGGAGAAGAGCTCCGACACGCTGAACTGCTCCAGGCCCAGGTCCCCCAGCCTGGGCAGGCGGGCAGCAGGGCATCAGCACCCAGTGGCAGCTGCAGCTGCACAGGGTGGGCACAGGGAAGCCTGCCCTCCCCACTCACTGCTCATCTGTGAAGCCTGTGAGGTTGCGCCAGTAGGCAGGAAAGTCTTGGAACTGGAAGGTGTAGACAGCAATGAGCACCAGCATGGTGTAGGCCACCACGAACCACCAGAACACTTTGAGCAGCTTCCGCCACAGGCTGTAGTAGACCTGTAGGTGCAGGAGATGAATAAGCCTACCCCAAGTCCCACCCCATGGCATTCAGCCCAGCCCTCCTGGGGACCAGGACACTGAGCCCTGCCCCCATAGTGCCTAGCCCCACCCCACATGCTTCGCCATGCCCCTATGGGACTAGCCCCACCCTGCACCTGGAACAGAGTGAGGCAGAGCAGGAAGAGGAACATGTAGACGATCTTGTAGACCACCAGGCGGCCGGCGAAGCTGACCACGATGAACATGCCGGCGCACACATAGATCCAGTACTTGGCATAAATGCCAGTGACGAGTTCACCCAGGCTCCGGAGCAGCGCCTGTGTCTGAGTGGGCTCTGTGGCTGGTAGGAGGGGTCCACAGTTGCAGGGTGAACCCCAACCCCTACAAACCCCAGCTCTGCCTGCTGCTCACCTTTATCACCCACAGCCACTTCCAGCAGCACCGCAGGCGCCCGGGCCTTCCTCAGCAGCTTCTCCTTCACGAAGCGACGCAGCAGCAGCCAGAAAGTCAGGGTGTAGAGCAGCTATGGGGTGCAGGTGTCAGGGGACCCAAGAGGGGTGGCTACCTTGTGGCCACACCAGTCATGTGTGTTGCACATGGGCTACTCACGGTCTCTCTCACACCAGGCTCACAGCCACCAGGAGTCACAGGGTAACCCACTCCCCCTGAAGACCCTGGCATACTCCTCACACAAGGACACTGGTGACCCAACCAAGCAACACGCATCTTGAGATCCAGGGGCCACATGGGGCGTAACTGAGATGGGTTGGGCAGGACACACACACTTGAACACACAGCACCAACGGCATATCAGCATATCACTTATTCAGTCAATAAACTCTGGACCTGGACTGTGTGAGCCAATAGAGACTTTGTGGTGACTACCACGTATGGCTCCCTCTCCTGGAGTCTCTGCCCAATTAACAGGCAGACAAGGCACCATCGCCCTGCGGTTGGTCAGGCAGTCTCACCCCCAGCATGGGGCTCACCATAGCACCGAGGTCCAGGCAGGGGTAGCGAGTGTGCTCCAGTCCCAGCTGGCGCAAGCTGACAGGGCCCAGGGTGGTGGGTAGTTCAGGCTGCAGGTCCATGGCCCACACATAGCGCAGGCAGCAGAGCGCCAGCCCATACAGCAGTATGAAGGGTGCACACAGGATGGCCAGCTGGTGGCGGCTACGCACTGTCCAGATGAGGCAGGCCCACAGCAGCAGCACAAAGGTCAGCCAGCTGTGGTATGTGATGCTCCACACCTGTGTGGCAGGGGCAGTGTGGGATGGTGGGCAAACAGGTGGCACAGCCACCAGGAGGCAGGGCCCGTGCATAGCACATGTGTGCACCCACACATGCACAGACCCCTGGATGGGGTGGAGATGGGAGAACGGAGGCAGCCTCCCCTCCCCACACCCTCCCCAGCACCGCCATGCCTCACCATCATGGCAATGAGGGCGCACACGTAGCTCTGGCCCATGATGAGATGCCCGAGGCCATGCAGTGGGGACGTCTCTCTTGGCTCAGCCAGCCTGGGATGCACTGGGGGCGGGCAGTGGTCAGCTCCCAGGGGGACACCCAGCGTGCCTCCCCAGCCAGCTCTGAAGCTCGGACAGTGGATGGGCATGGCAGCAGGGCCCGTCCCAACTGTGGTGACCCTGGCCTTGACTCCCAGACCTACTAAGGACTGGGTGCAGGACCGAGACGCCTCCAAAGGTGCCTGCAACTCTGCCTCTTGGAAATCACAACTGACAAGCCTCAGAGTGAAGAGGAAAGCCGTAGAGCAGAGCTGCCGCCTACGTGAAGTGCCCAGCGCAACCATGCCGGGAGCACAGTGGCCTCCTACAGCCCTGCCACCTGCAGCCACTTCCAAGCCAGATTGGGCAGGGGCAGAGCGCCCTGGACACTCTCAAGTCTTAGGACCAGCACCGCCTGGCCATGAAGCTGCAGACTGACACAGGAGTTTGTGGCCACCAGGGGGCAGCCGTGGCTTTGCCCACGGGCCTGTGATAAACTCCCAGGACTGGGGGTTAGGCCCATGCTTAGGAACCCTCCACCTGCGACTCACGGTCACGCGATCGGACAGGGCTCGGGCCAGTCAGGTCATGCATGATGCAGTTCTCGGCCTCAATGTTGGGCTCCACGAATGCGGGTATCATGTGCTATGGGGACACACAGTGAGCTCAGCTTGCCCACCTGTGGCAGAGGAGCCTCCCTGGCCGGGCTGGGCCTGGCACTCACCTGGGTGGCCTCCCCATCCCGCGCGGCCCTGCCCTGGCTCTGGGGACCCTGCTCCAGCTGACCCAGCTCCAGTGCAGGCTCCTCGTCAGCCCCTGCTGCTTCCCTTCTCTGTGGACAGCAGACCTGTGGGTTCAGCCCCAAGCAGCCCTGGCCCAGCGCCCCCTCAGTGGCCAGAGCTGTTGGGTGCTGGGACTGGGGGGCTCACCTGGCTCGAGGGTATCTGCTGCTGGAGCTTCAGGAGGGAGATGAGTGTGTAATATAGCAGCAACAGGACCCCTGGGCTCACGTACACCGGCCAGTCGTGGCTGGTGTTGAGGACCAGCACATGGGGGCTGGAGCAGTTGGTGGGGCCCACGAAGTCCTTAAGCCCAAACACTCTGCCAGGAGACAGCCTGTCATGACCACCTGCCCAGGTTCAGAGCCAAGCCCCAGTCAGGGGCTTGCGCAGGAGCCCTCACCTGGCCCAGAGGCTGGCAGACGGGAACACATCCTGGACAAAGGCTGTCTGGTAGCAGTAGAGGCAGATGAGATGACAGGCACCAAAGCAGCCCACCGTGACACAGAGAGCATTAAGGCCCAGAGGGCTGATGGGAAAATGGCAGGCCCACCAGGTGCAGATGCCCAGGAAGGCCAGCAGGTAAACACTGGAGAGGGCTGAGGGGTGGGCAATGCCTGCAGGGCAAGAGGGACTGGGTCATGACAGGTCACCAGGGAGTTCTAAGAACTGTCCCCTCCCACATGCAGCAGTCAGTACCCACGTGCCTCCCTGCCCCAGGTACCTGCTAGCGCGAGCAGAATGACAGCCAGGGTCCGCCCTGCAGCCACCAGCAGCCAGTGGGCTGTGGCCCGGAGCCGGGAAGTCAGCCATGTCCTGGGCTTGGGGGTCGGTGTGGGGACTCCTTGAAGCCCTGCCAGGGAGCCGGTGTCCACATCCCTCTCCTCACCATCCTGCTGAGGCCGAGGCCGACGCAGGTCAGGCAGTGACATGGAGACTCCCGCCCCAGCCCCACCACCTGGACCCCCCTCCTCTGTCCTCCCCCAAGCCCACTACCCCCCAGCCAGGCATGGGAACCCTGTCGGACTTCTTGAGCACCTGTCCCGGAGCAGGCACTTAGGAAGCAGAGCACACAGTGTGCCCCTTACATGGCCACACTGAGCTCCTGGGCACTCAGGCCACCCCCAATCCCCAGGTCCAGAGGAGACTGAGTGATGAGGGGACCCCAGCACACAGCAGGCACAAGTCACCCAGCCTGAGAGGGCCAGCGTTGGCTGGGTCCCTGCCTGGGGCCGGGAACCTGCTTCCCAGAGTGGCGCTTTTCCCAGGCCCCAGAAAGCCAGGGCATGATGGAAAGAACAGACTGTCGTCAGAGGCCCTGGCCCCAGCCAGCTGCTGCCAGCCTGAGTGCCCAGCTGTGTCTTTGCAAACAGCTGAGGTGGCACTCAACGCCCAGGCTCTGGGGCCAGGGCTGGCCCCTAACCCAGCTCCCAGGGCATATTGCTGTGCAGCAGCAGACTGGCCCCTTAACCTCTCTGAGTCTGTTCTGGCTGGCATAGCCCCACTTGGTCAGTGGATGGGAAAGGTCAGCCAGACAGGCCCAGCCTTCACAGGCTCAGGGCTGGATGGAGACAGGGAGGCCTCAGGAGTGCTGAGGAACAGAGCCCAGAGGCAGGGGACAGGGTGGGAGGCTGGGCCTGGTAAGTGGGCTGACAGGTCCAAGCCCACTGCTTGGAGGCCACAAGGTCAAAAGTGGCCTAGCTGCATTCCCAGGACTGGGCTTGTCCCATCAGACGCCAACATGAGCCAAAAGAGCCTCAGCTGGGGGCACATGGAGCACTAGGGCTGCCTGGGCAGACGTGGGCAGACAGGGAGGCCTTGGTGGGTGCACGAGGCTGGCCTGCTATGCAGCCGCGTGAACCCCTCCCCTCCCCAGGCCCCTCTGGAAGCCAGGGCCCTGTGCCCAGCATGTGCCAGCCGCTGATGAATGGGCACAAGGGCTGAGCCCAGCACCCGCAGGCATGAGCTCTCACACTGGGACACCTGCATGCCATGAATCCTGGCCCAGCCTTGGGCCCTAGCTCTTGGCAGAGGCCAGGCATGGGTAGGGAAGCTGGACACTGGTCATGGGGCGGTAGGGCATGGGGTCTTGCAGAGCTGGTGGGAAAAAGGCTTGAGGCTTGAAGCCCCCACTACCTCCGATCACAGTCCCATGGGTCTCTCGCGCAGTGCGCAGGGCCTGGCCACGCGGTGCTATCCCCCACCCATGCTCATCCCTCCGCTGCATGGCCCCAAGCCCCCAGGCCAGGTGCCAGTCCAGAGCTCAGCAGGGTACGTTCTCATGTGCACAGGAGTGTGTGACAGTGAGCCTAGGGAGGGGACTCTCCTCCTGTACCCCTCTCTATAATCAAGCAGGAAATCTCCACCCAGCAGAAAAAAATGGGTGGCCCTGGAAAGTGTGCCCCGCACCAGGCGCTCCCTTTCACTCCTCCTGCGGTGCCCACACAGGCCGAGGCAGATGGATGACACCACCAGGATGCCCAGGTCGGGGGCCACCAGGCGAACAGCACTGGGGATGTCATTCAGGTCCAGCCTGCAAGGGACCAAGGGTCACAGTCAGCATGGGGCCTGGGGCCATCAGGATGCTGAAGCCAGGCTGGGTCTTACCTTGTGACCCCAATGTATCGAGAGACCTTCTCCCAGAGGCTGCCTGCAGACAGAGCAGGGGACCTGGTCAGAAGAGTGACACTGCAAGGAGCCCCGGAGCACAGGACTCTGGGACGCACTCCAGGGGCGCTTGCAAGGGTTGCTTCTCCTGACAGGGAAACTAAGACATGACCCTGTCGGCCCAGTGGGGTGGCTCACAGCTAGGCGGGATGGTAGCCATTTGTGCTGCTGGGGATGGGGACCAGATGAGTAGGAGCCCAGCTTCAGCCTGGTGGACCAGGCCACAATGCCCCAAACACCAGGAAGACATCGCAGGATGACCAAGAGGGCTTAGCATGACCCCACCTGGGTGGTGGACAGGTCGCGGGGGCTGGTGTAAGCTGCAGATACTGCCAATAAATAGGCATTCAATGTTGAGATGGGGACCAGGGAGCACTCAGGGCCCCCGGCGCCACTGGCTGTGCAGCTCAGCCCCAGTGGGGAGCACGGTACACATGGGGGAGACACTGAGAAGACCTGGTCACTCCCAAGCTGGCTCTGCCCAGCGCAACCTGCAGCCAAGTCATTCCTGGAAGATGTCCCCAGGGCCACCTCGGCCAGACATAAATCTTGGCTGGGGATGGCTCCTGTTAAAAGTGCCTGGGTGGGGCAGGGCATTTCCAAGGCAGGGTCCCGGGTCAGCTGGGACCGGGACACTCCCCACCCCAGGCCAGGTCCCCAGTACCCTGTCCTTGTCCCCGCCCCAGCAACTCACAGCTGGGCTTCAGCAGCTTGTCCAGGCTGGGCACTGTGTGCAGGGTTATCTGGAAAGCCAGGTGTGCCACCAGGAAGAGCAGGCTGAGGCTCAGCAGGGCGCGCAGGAGCCGGACTGCATGCCCTGCTGCAGAGCGAGCAGGTGAGGCTTGCACAGATCTGCTGGGGCACTGCCCAGTGGACGTGCTCTCCCACTATGGCCTGAGACCCATGGCCGGGAGGTGCAGGGGTGGAGCAGGCAGGGGTGCTGTGAGTGTTCTGACCACTGCCACAGCCCTCCCCCAACACAGAGGAGGACGTGGCCAGATCAGAAGAGCACCTGGTCCCAGGTCACACAGTGAGAGGCCAGCAGGACCTGCCCAACAGGCTGGGCCAGCGCAGGAGGGGAAAGACCTGGTTCTCAGAAAAGCAACTTTTCATCTGTGCAGCAGAGATTTGTTCCTGCTGGGCCACCATGGAAAGGAACCAGAAGTAATGCTACCTTGGCAGGCTGGTAGCAAGGGCCTGCGGGGTACCCAGGGATGAGGCTGGGTCTCTCCAGGAAAGGGGGGGTTAGCAGCAGAGGGGTGGGGACAGTGGGGCAGAGATATACCCTGAGCCCAAGGGTACAGAACCCAACAGTGGCAGGAGGGGGGCGCTAGTGCCTGGCGTGGCCCTCACTTCATGGGGAAGCAGTGGTGGCTGGGATCGGGCCACTAAACCACAGGGCCACGGAGCCCAGGCCAGCATGGCCGTGCCCGGCCAGATCTGTGCTCGCCACCAGATGCCATGGCCTTGCTTTGCCCCTGCCAGCCATGCCCCCAGGGCCCGGCTCATCCACAGGAGGCCTTCGCAGTGAGCTGCCCTCACTTCTGCTCCTGTGGGCAATGGGAGCTTGCATGACGCAGGTGACTCATGCCCAGCCAGCAGCTGGTGCTACCCCAGCCCAGCCAACTCCAAGGAGGAAGACCCTGAACCCTCGGGACCAGTGGGCACCACTGCCCGCCTCACATGCTCACAGCAGGGGCTTCCTTGTTTGTGGTTTCTGGGGCATGCTTTGCTGAACCCAGTTAGAATGACCCTCAGGGTCTCAGGCTCCCAGGTGGGCAACACCTCCCTCCCCTGCAGGTCCCACCCACCACACACTCTACTATATGGCTGTCAGGTAGGGGTCTCCCAGGCTGGGCCCCAGCCTCTGCAGCGATGACCTGGCCTTGGGGAAGGCCTGGTACCCAGGGCACTACGATCCCAGGGCCTGGCCAGGCTGGCCTGGGACTCTGGAAACCTCCAAGGGTGAGGCTGCAGCTGGGGGTACCCTCCAGGGAGCAGGAAAGGAGGTCCCTGGGGACTTGAGCTCACCAGAGTGCATGGCAGGGGTGCCACTAGCAGAGGTGGGTGCTGCCTGCACCTCCATCAAGGACCTGACAGGCGCTGCCCACCCAGAGGCTACATGGTGCAGGTACCCAGCCGGAGGGCAGGTGGGTCTGGCGCAGCTGAGGGACATCTCCCTGCGAGCTGCAGGGCCTTGCCGTGCTGGCACGGGGGGCATCAGGGCTGGCACTGACTGCACAGTGGGACTCACTGTGGGGGATGGAGGGTCGGCACAGGGAAAGAAACAGGCGGCACAGTGGACCCAGCAGACGGGAGGGAGCCCGGGGCGGGGCTGCCACCCTGAGAGTGTGCGCCACAGAGTCAAGGGCATGTCCCTCAGCTGAGTGACCCCAGGTGGCTGTGGGGACACCCCCGGCCTACACCTTGATCCTCACCACAAAGCCTTGGAATGGCTATACTCCCCCACAGATGGGGAGAAACAGGCTTGGAGGGTGACGTCCTTTCCTCACTTGGGGACCCATGCCCTCCAGCCACTGCAAGATGCAGGCTGGGCCTACACAGCCTGGACACCCCCCAGCTATGCTGAGCCCCTACACACCCTGAGAAGGGAGCAGGGAGCCCCGCACTGGCCGAGCACTGCTGTCCACACAGCAGACCTTGTTCTGAGCTGCTACCTCCTGGCCTCTGGTGGCCAGGAGGGGACTGTACACAGGGGAGAGGGCAGTCTATGGGTAGACTGTCCACAGGGGAGGGACGGTTCAGGGGGGTGGGGCTGCCCCTGGGGGAGGGTCTGTCCATGGGGGACAGTCTATCCACAGGGAGGGACTGTCCATGCCCCACCCCAGAGGCAGCACACTCTTCCCAGCCATCGCAGAGAAAAGAAGCAAGTCCATGAAGGAGGAGCAGGCCTGCAGGCCCCTGCAACCAATAGGAAGTGGGCTGAAGCATGGACCTCCTGTTCCCTGTGGAGCAGCTGATCCTGAGCCCCTAAAAGTGCCACTTAGCCCGCACACCTCCTGCCCTGTCCTGTCTCCTTGGGGCACCAGCACCCAGCCCTTGAAGGGCTCACACATCATCCAAGTATAGATGTGGCCTTCTAGGGGGCACCAATGCCCAGCAGAGGAAGGGGTATCCATAGCCCTAAAGCCCCCTACATGGAGAAGGTCCAGAGAGGGCAGGGGACAGGGAGGGGTCAAGTCAAAGCCTTTGCCAGTGTCTTACCCATGCCACTCGGGCTGAGCCCTGCACCACTGTGAAACCATGGAGCACGGTGCACCCCAGGTCCTCTGGGCCTCTATGGCTAGGGGGAGGGCTGGTCTTGGATGCCTGGGGGCATCCCAGGATACAGCCTGGTTGTGGTGGTGGCCAGAGGGTGGGGACTCTTCAGGGAGCAGGGAAGGTGGGAGCTTTCCTCCACCCTAAAAGATGGGGGGTAGGGCACTGGCCCAAGAGCTTGCGGCCATCTGGGGCCCAGGCCAGCACTCCCACCCCACAGCCGGGGGTCAGGCTACCGCCTCCATGGGGCCAGCAGGGTACCGTCAGACCTTCCACCAGTGCCTGGCAGCAGCTGCGCAGGCAGGCCTCACACTTTCCTCCCTCCACCCAGAAGGCCCAGGCAGCGTCTGTCCCTGAAGGGCCTCTGAGCAGGACACAGACAGATGGGGGGCCGGGTGAGATGCCTGTCACTGCCACTCTCCCCAGCCCAGCAGTAATGGCCCCCACATGGGATGGGGGGGGGTCATCCAGGTGTCCACAGGCGCTTCCCCCTTACGAGGCCACAGCCTTGCATGCCTCAGCCCATGTCCTGGGAGGTCTCCTCCTGGGGTTCCAGCGGCTCCCCTCACTTGCTTGAGCTGGACCCCCAAAACACCCTCACTGCTTTCTGAACCCCAGAAAGCTAACTATGCCCTGAGGGATGGTTAACAGGGCCCAGTGACCGTTCTGAGGCGCTCTGAGCTGATGGAGCCTCAGGCATTAGGCCAGGGACAAAGGGCCCCGTCTTCTTAAGGTCAGCAATGGGAGGCGTCTCCAGCACAATCTCTGGGCCCTGTGGGCCTCTGACAGGTTAGGGCAGAGTGTGCTGAGGCTGCACACAGCCAACTGGAAAAAGCACACTCCAGGGGATAGAGCCAGGGCAGCGGCACAGGGAAGGACCCTGCTGCCCTCATCAGCCCAGCAGGTCAGGGCCACAAGCCAAGATAGAGGGTATCCCCGGCAGCCAGAAGAGACAAGGAAACCAGTCCCACAGCCTCCCAAGAGAGTGGAGCCGCATACACCTAATGGCCATTTGGGTTCTAACCTCCAGAATAAAGTAGATGCCGGCAACCCAGCACCTCCCAGGAGCATGGGGCAGCATCGGGGCAAAGCCTAGCGCCCTCGAGTCACCCAAGTACACAAAGCAGACACTAGGCACCCCTACAGCGCAGGTGACCAGAGCCCAGGGTCCTCTCCAGAAGCACTACCCCTGCTGCCACAGCCAGCCACGGGACCCATTCCTACTCCCACCCCATGGGAGGCACCCAGGTGGGGCAGCAGTTGGTTCACTCCCAAATCCAAAGGCTCTCAGGACACAGGAGCAAGACGCATCTCCACTAGGGTAGGGGCCTGGGCTTGCACACTTGCTATGGCTTCTGGAGGGTAGGTGGTGACAGTCTGGGGGGACTCACCACCCGTCCTGTCAGCTCAACACACCCAGGGACAAGCGATAGGTGGGAAGGATTCGGAGCGAGCTGCATCTCCAGCAAGAAAGGAAGCTGAATCCTGCTGGAGGCTGCACTCCTGCGCCAAGTACCCAGCCCAACCTTACCTTTTACGCTGTTGCACGCAGGGCCGGGCAACCAGGGCAGAAGCAGCAGGACCAGCAAGTAGACCAGTGAGAGCGCATTCACACGCACCAGGGCGGCTGTGGGGAGACAGCAGCTCAGCTCTGTGGCCCACAAGTGCAGCCCTTGTCCCACTCCTCCAGCTTGTGAGGACATGGCACCCTGTGGGGGTCCTTGGACAGGGAGTCCACATTGCCATTGCTGGGCATCCTGTGCCCACAGTGACCTCAACAGCCTGGCTAAAGTGTGTGCACACGTCCCTCGCAGGGCAGGGCAGGCACTGTGCTTGCCATGATGGCCAGGGTGTAGGAGTGATCGTGATCCTCTCCACAGTGCGTACCACCAGCCCCGGTTTTGGTGGCCAAAGCAGCACACCTGGGGTTCCAGGCCAGTGTGGATGCGGTACCAGGGCAGGGCACTTGCCAGGTAGGCACTTAGACGGCCGAGCTAGCTCCTCAACCCCTAACTTGCCTTTCACTTCTTTGATAGTCTTGAGAGAGGGTCTTGTGGCTTCCCACAGCATCCTGACGCTGGCTATGTGACCTGGACTGGCCTTGAGCTCAACCTTCTGGTCTGCGCCGCCGCGCCTGGCCTTTGCTCCCTCAGCACACAGGCCCTGGCTGCTTCCTCACTGGGCTCCAGGAACTCCTGCCGGAGGAGCCATGGCCACACAGCACCACGCGTCCGTCCTAGAACCTTGATCCCACTCTTTCCTGACTGTACAGCTTGCAGCTGGGCTTCCCACCTCTGGGCCTAAAGGTCCAGCCGAGAGTGGGCCAGGTGGCCAGGTCCCTGGGACGCAGTGCGGCATCCTGCCCACCTCTCACAAGGCCAGGGCAAGGTGACTGAGCCTGGCCTCATGCCAGGGCAACTGAGGCCCACTTGGCTCTCCTAGGGTGCAGGGAGACCACACGCTACTCCCCCCAGGACCCCCAGCTGCAGCAGTCTCAGGAGCCTTGACACCCTAGCCCAGGGGAGCAGGGTGTGGCTTGTGCGCACTCACTGGAGCCCTGAGCCTTCCTGGACACCAACTGGTAGCTCAGCCTGCACCCAGCAGAGGGAGCATCACCCTTCTCTGTCCACCAAGAAGCTTGGGCCCAGAGGTGCTCTCCTTGGGGTTGTCCCATCACTCTCCGCCCTGCATACCCCATGTGTGAGGACCACAACACTGTCATGGGTCTGACGTTAGCCAGCCAGACTTGGGAACAGGAGTGGGTCCCAGGACAGTTCCTCGGGGGGAGGGGACAGGCCAGGTGTGTATTCTAAACAGGCCAGGCAGGTCACTTTCTGTAGGAACCAAGGGTCACAGAAGCAGCACAGGCCTGGGGACAGGGTTCTGTGCAGACAGACGTCCCACCCAGGGACAGCCTCTGTCTGCCCCAGGTCTCTGGGGGCCCCAGTCACAGCAGGATTCCTGTTCTAGAGGGTGGTGCTAAGGATGTTGCTGGGTCGTGCTTGCCCTCTGCCTTGCAAGCCCCCACAAGGGTCTCATCAATCAGCTGAAGTTCCCAACAGTTACACATATTCATAACAAAAAAGCGATCTGCTGAGCCCAAGAGGCAGGGGAGATGCAGCTGCCACCTGCCACCAGGGCCAACCCAGCCCAACACCTAATTCTTGTGCCAGCCAAGCGAGGGTTTCTCCAGCCAGGAGATGTCCACATGCCCACCTACTTGTACACCCTCTCACCTGTCCATCCACCCCATTCACCTGCCCACCCTTCCACCCCTTCCACCTGTCCACCTGCCCACCTATCCACATGCCCACCCATCCACGTCCCACCCGTCTACCCATCCACGTCCCACCAGTCTGAGTGACTTTCTCCCAAGGACCAACGCTGCAGGTCCCCACATGTGCTCTGTGGGGAGCCCGTGACATTGAGCAGGTCACAGGCGCTGGGAACAGTGACTGAAGCTTGTGGCTGGGCCCTGGAGGCTCCTGGGGGAGACGTAAGCTCACTCCTCAGCTGGCGCCATCCAGAGACCAGAGGCTGTGAGGAGCCTGAGACCCCGTCACCAAGACGGGAAAGGCTGGCACAGGGCACCAACATGTGAACGCGCTTAAGCCAGTGTTGACAGCACTGGTGCAGGTGGATAACCAGGAGGCCCCCAAAGTCTGTGAAAGGCTCCAGAAGCTGGGCTTGCAGCTGTGGGGTCAGGACTCATCTAAGCTGTATGTGGCTGACAACAGGGAGGCAAGTTCGGGGAGCAGCTCCGGGGCCCCTCATCTACCTGCAGGGGTGAAGGAACCTTTCAAAAACTGTGTTTGCTGGAAATAGAAGGGAGATGGGGGCACTGCTCCTGCACTGGGGGCCTCATCATTAGGGCCCAGGCCCCCGGGGGGTGTCACTGGCACCCTGGGGTTCCACTCTTCATTCCTCCCTTCACTTGTTCCATACAGGGCAGGCCACACACCAGGCAGTGAGGCCACTGAGGCTCGGAGGGTGGGGTGAGGGACGAGCAGATCATGGGCTGGCTGGGCACTGGGGCAGTCCTGGCCAGCCCCCCTAACTCACGTCCTACCATCTACCCTAAGAGAAGGCTGGCACTGAGCTGGTGGGCAGTGCCCAGACAGCCTCAGATACCAGCCCTGGGGGCCATGCAGGAAGCCAGGCCTGGATTAGCCCTGGTTGGGGGATCTCACCCTAACCCTGACCTCAGGGCATCAGGAGGAGGGTGAAGCAGGACGCCAGTCACTGGGCCAGCGTGGGGTAGGGCCGAGTGGCCCATGCATGGTCCCCATCTTTCAGGTGAGGACACAGAGCCTAAAGGGCCAAGGGCTGGCAGCATGTGGCTGGGACCCCCTGCCCCTGGACGGGTGCCTCTAAGCACATTCCTTGGGGTCTTGAACAGGAGGGGCAGGTGGCAGGGATAGCTGGGGGTCTGTGCCTTGACCCTGGCCACCACTGGGCAGACAGGGAAGGATCCTGCTGGAGATCCGTGGGGACACAGGCTCGGGGGAGGGGCCAAGCTTGCTGTCCTCGCAGGGCCACAAGCTATGACCTCACACATAGCCTTTCATGAGCCTGGGACAACAGCTGGGTCAGGCAGTAAGGGCAACTGCAAACCAAACCTTCCGGGATGCCCACCCACAGTTGAGGAATGAGGACAGAGTGGTACCTCTCAGAGCGGGCAAGTGGAGGCAGTGGGACAGGTCACCCCCCAGGCGCGTGACCTGGGGCTGGCTGGCATTTGTTCTTAGCTAGGCAGGCAGGAAGGAAGCCAGCCGCGGGTCACAGGTGCCACACAGCATAACAGGACCAGAGGCCACTCCTTGGAGGCTGGTCAGCATATGGCAGACCCCACGGTGGACCCAGGGCCCTGGCGAGGGAGGCACAAGGCACCGTGCTGTGGTGCCCACTGGAGATGGAGTGAGGCTGCCTGGAGTTTGTGTTATGGCGGCACCCACGAGGGCCAGGATCAGTGCCTTTGCTTCACAGACAAGGACAAGTCTGGGACGAATGTGTGCAAGGCCCTTCTCTGCAAGAAGGAGGCCACGGAGGTGCAAGGCTACCTACGTCTGTGTTGACAGAGCAGAGGTCGCCCTGGGAGGGTCACCCACTTGCACAAGGGAGCCCAGGCTTGGCATGAGACCAGGGATGAGTCCCTGGCATGGGACATTACACACAGGGCACCGAGGTCTCAGGATGGAGGGGTTGGGGCGCCAGTCCCCAAGGCCACAGTCTTTAGGCCAGGACTTCTGCCTGGGGCCTGAGCATCCAGGCCTGTAGCAGCAGGGAACACTGGGGAGACAGGAGGGGGGGAACACCATGCAAGGAGAGCTCTGCCACCAAGAGGCCACACACCAGGCAGGGAGCACAAGGCCCAGGCAGTGGCACCTTCAGTAGGGGCAGGAAAGGCCTGGAGCAGCCAATCTCAGAAACTGAGGCTCGAATCCTACCTCTGAGCAGCACAGTGGAGACCAGGCTAGGACAGAGGCCAGACGTGGGCCAGGCCGCAGCAGCCTCTCCCCCACTCCTCCCATCACCAGGAAATCTAAGGACACCAGGTAATTGTTTTCTTCCAAGAATGAAAATCAGGCCAAGAGTGGTGGCCCGTGCCTGCAGGCACTCAGGAGGCTGAGACAGGAGGGTGGTGGAGAGTTCAAGGCCAGCCTGGGCTACAAAGTGAGCTCAAGACCAGCCAGAACTGCATAATGAGACCCTGTCTCAAAAAGGCGGAAGAAATCATGGACACTTATTTCCACTAAGAGCGCAAAGCACGTGATGCTGAGCCCAAGCAAGCCTCGCTACAGAGCCCGCACAAGGGTTCTGAACAATTCGCAACAAACCCTGGCCAAACCTCAACGCCCCACTGGCCCCTCATAGGGAGAGGCGATATGTGTGTGTGTGTGTGTGTGTGTGTGTGTGTGTGTGTGTGTGTGTATTACCGGGGATTGAACTCAGGCAAGCACTAATGACTCCTCTGAGCTATCTCCCCAGGCCCCAAGGCAATGTATTTCAAAGAATGCTTTGCTAATAAACTGTGGAAACAACTTTCTTCACACGGGAAACAAGTGTCAGTTGTGTCCTGCCAGCCCAGCACCACACCTCCACCGCAGCCCGGCTGCGTCTTCAGCTGCTGGCCCCGTGTTCAGGCTGAGGGCGCGGGCCATGGCCATAGCCCACGGGACACCGCACGTGTCCTCTGTCCCCCATCTCACACTCTGCAGGAGCCCAGCCCCAGTGGATTCTGAAAATGTGATCACGACAGGCAGCGAGCACGCCCCCAAAGTCTCACTCACACTTTTATTTGCCTATTAACGGCTCCAAATATGGGTCACGAGGCACTGTAGGACTCCAGAGTTGAGAAGCTGCCTTGGGAAGTGTGGACAGAAACAACGCCGAAAACCTAGCAGTTCGTACAGCTTAAAACTCCTTGAAGACACACGGAGGCCTCTACGTTTTTATTTAATGGTAGGCACTGAGACAATTCTGAGAGCATTACTAAGTACACTTAGTATGAAATCAATATTATCAACAGAAACTGAAACTGGCAATATTCTGGGTCACAGTAAAAGCTTTTCCCAAGAATACTTTTAGAGTTCAATGTTCATTATTCTTTATAGTAAAAAAATGAAT